AAATATTGAGCATCAGAAGCCTTATGGTTTACTATAGTATCTTGATATTTTGGAATAAAAATGAGAGAGTATCTCCATGGACTTTGTTGTGAGGTTGCCGCGAATTAGACTAGTTATGATTCCATATAGGTGATTGTGGATAGGTTGAAAAATCTGCACACTTTCTGCCAGTATGAGTGGATTTCTCTACGGAGAAGTTAGCTCGACTTTATGTGAAGGAGATTGTGAGGCTTCATGGGGTTCTTGAAAGCATTGTTAGCGATCGAGACCTGAAGTTCACTTCTCGCTTCTGGGACGCATTGCAGGAGGCTCTTAGCACTCAGTTGAGACTGAGTACTGCTTATTATCTGCATAAGGATGGTCAGACTGAGAGCACCATTCAGACGTTGGAGGATATGCTGAGAGCTTGTACTCTATAGCAGGGTATTGCTTAGGATTGGTATCTTACACTGTTAGAATTTTCATATAATAACTGTTTCCATTCTAGTTTGGGTATGGTTCTGTAGAGGCTTTGTATGGTTGGAGGTGTAGGACACTTACATGTTGGTTTGAGGTTGGAGACAAAGAACAGTTTTGACTAGATTTTGTAAAAGAGACTACGAAGCAAATTCAAAAGATCAGAGATAGTTTGAAAAAGGCTCAAAGTCGTCAAAAGAGCTATTACGATCTCAAGCATGAACCTCTTGATTAATCCATTCTAATCAATGATTTAAAACATCTAGCATGTGTTTTATAATAACCCTAATTGTAAAATGCTTAATTGCATGGAATTAATTATTTAATCATACATAATCAAATTAATTAAGTGTAAGACTTAATATAAATGTTAGATTAAATATTAATTAAGCATATTGTAGATAAAATAAGTAAGAAGACTTAGTTCAATCAATGTGGTGTAACATGATTAATTGATAATTGGTGAAGTGGAAATCACATAAGATAAGTAAAATGATGTTTTATGATTTAAAGTTGGTGAAGAAAACATGAAGGGAATAAAGTAGGATGTTGCTTTATGCTTTATTATGTGTAAACTTAGATATTTTCTACCAAAAAAGCCATCTCTTTTGTTCTTCTCTTGCCAAACCCGACAACCATTGAAGAGAAGCTCCAAATTCCAAGTTCTTCATCTTTCATCTAATCCAAACTGCTTGAACATCAAAATTGCTTAGAATTTAGTTGTAATCAAAACCTATAATCCATATTTTGCTAAGAATTTGTGTGTGGTGAGAAAATCCCTTGTGAAAGCGATGCCCCTTTATGTGTTTGGAGTCTTGGAAGCTTGTTTGATCTCATCCAAGGTTGAAAATTCATTCCTCGGCCACTTGTGAAGAACCTAGTGGTAAGAAATCTAATTTTCCTTGAGTTTTATGATAATGAGTTTCTTAGGTTTTCAATATGAACATGTTGGTTGAGTTGATAATGATTAAGTGATAATGAGGCTTAAACCCTTTCGAAAAGGTTGTTTAGACGATGATATAAATGGTGAAAATGGGTTTGAAAAACCATTTGAGTCACCTTCCATATTTTAGAAAATGGGAATGCCTATTTAGTGTTATTATGGTGTTTCAAATGCTATGGGTGGTTGTTGATTGTGTTCATGTGTGTGTTTCTAGGTCGGAAACACGTGAACACTTAATTGAGTAAGCATTGGAAGAGCCAATGGAGTTGGATTTGGCTACTTGAATTAATTCAAGTGTAGGCGTTGGTTTTGGAAAGGTATTGTTGTGGACTTTCCTTGAATTCTTGGTTAGTGGAATTCATGTGCTTGGAGCAAGCATTGGATTGGAAGCGTTACAAGGTAAACTTTCGGACCTTGGAAATTAATCCTTTAATTGTTCCACCAAGCCCGGTGGTGGGTTTTGGTTTTATATATGGTTATGCAATGAATTGAAAATAATACATGATGTGTGATGCTTGTGGTGTAAAAGAGATTCATACACGGGTAGGTTGCACGGTTGCGTAATTCCTATAGTATGTTGCATGACTGTGTAAATCATACATTATTTTTTGGCCTTATGATTATTTGTCTAGAGTTCCTGTTTAAGGTATGTTTACCACGAGGGATTGGTAGGACACTATCGTTTATATTCGGAGGATGGTGCAAGGCACTAGAAGAAATATTAGACAACTATTTGCACACTTAACATGTATACATTCATACATTCCTGATAATGTTATTTATTGCTTGTTGCCTGAAGTGAGCTCTGGGGTGGACTAGTTTACTGAGATATCTATCTCACCCCACATTTCAGGACCCCTATTTTTTAGTTACTAACCTGGAGCGCCTATTGGCAGGAGGCCATAATAGATTGCATGGAGTGATATATATATATATATATATATATATATATATATATATATATATATATATATTTATATATATATATATATATTTGTTTTTGGAGCATCCTATTTACATGTAGATGAACATGTATACGAATTACATTTCGTAGCCCATTAATATATTATGATGTATTTTGGTGGACTTAGCCTGTGATAACTTCCCTTTGGTATCTTATGTTGTTAGAAGGAGCCTAGGATTATTATCATAACTATTTTGTTTAACTAAGTTCTATTTTGTATATGTGGGTTATTTGATGTATTTGGGACAAATGGACATTGTGTAATATTGGATTATGTGTTCTATGCCCATTAGGTGTTAATACGTTGGGAAGCATCCATAAACAACAAGGAACAACCAATTGCTGTCAAATATTATTCTGAAAAGTACGCTTGAATTAGAACGTCCATATCTCCTTCATTCCTTAATGAAACGGGGAAAATAATATATCATTAGAAAGCCCTAGGAGTCTAGTTTCTTGTCTCCAAAACTTGAAATTTTTTGAGCAGTGTAATTATCCCAAATTATGGCTAGAAGTAACGCTGTAGAGACCCTAGAATGTTGATCCTGTGGGGTTGTTCTGCTAGCAGAAAGCAGGAACGGCCCAGAGTGGGAACACCCTATGTATAAGGAATGCCACATGTTCCGGACTTAGGAAAATAAGTTGTTTCAGGCTATATTGGTTTACGGGAACCTCATGGCAATAGTTAATAAGCAATGTGTGATACAATTGAGCAGAATTTAAGTATTCCGAAACGTTATTACAGTTTTGGTTTGTTTTAAATACAACAATGATTTAAAGCAGAAACGTGTCTTGTGTAAAAAGAAAAAAGTTTAACCGTATTTTAATTCAACTTCTGTGATTGTAATTTCTATTAATATTATAAGTAATGATAACATACCGGAGTAGTACAGGATGTTACATGTTTTAAACTCATGAAAATTCATGAAGTAGTTTTCCATTAAATCATTCCAAGTTTTAGGTAACTTTTGTATTATTGTATTTTTATCTCAAAACTTTCACTATTTAACTTTTACCCAGAAAAGTGACTTAAATTGCATAATTAGATTATTCATCTAATCCATCTCTTTTAATCCCTAATTAATTCCCAATTTCACAATTTAATTGTTTGGGTTATTATACAAATCAAGTGTTGGGAAGACTTGACACAAGCTTTTATTAGCCAATACAAGTTCAATTCTAATACTGCACCAACCAAAGATCAACTTAAGGGAATGAAGAAAAAGGAAGGTGAAACCTTCAAAGAAAATGCACAAGGTGAAGAGTCATGGTAGCTCAAGTCATATCACCCCCGTTGGAATCAGATATGCACTCATACTTCATTCTAACTTTGGAAGACCCTTTCTTTAAGAACATACTTGAGACCCATGTGAAAGATTTTGTTGACCTAATTGAAATTGGGAAAAGGATTAAAGCAAATATACATGAAGGAAAGATAGAATTGCAATATGTCAACTTAAATGAACTTCTTTCAAGAAAGGACAATCCCTAACTCTAGAAGACATCGACAAAGATTTCATTGTTTTTTTCATCATGACTTCTGAAGCACACCAAGACGCCCTCAAACAAGTGTTAGATTGGTCGTTTGTGCACAAAGACATAATTCCAGAGAAAATGGAACATACTTTGTCAACACGAGCAATTCATTCATACTCTTCACCTCAACAACACAATTAGAGTAAGAATGCACTGTTTAGGCCCCCGCATGCAAAGTATGTGCGAGGCTCAAAGTCTCTTCCTCATAACACTCTTCTATATGACAAAGCAAAAAAAATTCAGGATATAACATTGGAAGAAGGAAAATAAAAAAAATGAAAATGGAGGCTTAGTATACATACATGATCACTTATGCACTTCAAGTAATCTCAATTGTAGCCGTAAATCTCTTATATTATAAGCTTAATTATTACGTCATTTTAATTTTGTGTTCGATTCTAGTAGCAAAAAGCTTTTGAAAAAATAATTTTGTCTTTAAAAGTAAATAAATTCAAACATATATTAAATAAGAAGTAAAGATATTTGATACAATGTACATTTGTACAAAAAAAAACAAAAGATTGCATTATTCTTATAAAAACAAATATAATTAATCAACTTTTTTATAAACATGCATAAGTTTAAAAAGCATGTGATATTTTAAGATGTGAAGTGAGATATATGAACAATTTTTTAAAGGTTAAATTTTTTAAAAGAAAATAATTATCTTATGTTGCATAAGATAATTATCTTATGTTGCATAAGATAATTATCTTATTTTATGCAATAGAGATAATTTACCGGAGTCTACTATATTTAAAAAAAAAAGATTGGCACTTATATTGATGTATATGTAGAAAACAATTTTGATCTCCTATCAAACCCGAAAAAATATTGCCCTTTTTTAATACTTTTTTCTAATATGTAATATTTTTAAGGATTTTGATTTTCTCATGTTGCATGAGAATTCAATTATAATATTGTGACTCAATTAATTGTCGATCTCACACTTATTAAAAAAAGAAAAGCTTTACCCGCATGAAAGAGACATTTTTTTTCTTCATAAAAACACTTATAATAATTTACTAAAATTTAAAGATTAAATTAAAAAGAGTGTTATACTTATATATAAAATTCTTAAAAAAATCACAAGCAGTGGAACCCTGGTTTTGAAGCGCGCAGAAGGCAACCACGGGCGGCGAACCCATGAAGAAATCAAAGCAAACCCAACTGAACCCAAACTGGGTTCAACTCCAACAAGTGCCTTCTCTATTCTTCTTCTTCCTTATTTTCCATTTACAGACATAAATCCATGTCTCTACATCAATTTTTTTTTTGGTGTTTGTCTTTGTGCAGAAGCTGAAGCTGAATGGCTCCAAGGCTTCAAGGACCTTCAACAATTCAGAAGAAGACACCCCAAAATCAATATTGGGTAATAGAAAAATCGTTTCTTTCCTTCTGGGTGTGCCTTATTTGCTGTATATATTGAGTGGTGGATATAAAAGGTGAAGCCTTGGAAATAATGCAGCTTATAGTGATTTGGAGTTGACAGATTTTTTTTTTCTTTGTTTTGACAGGGAAGCGTAAAGAAAGGCAAGATGATGAATCCAATGATTGTCAGATTAATCCTCTTATTCCTGTAAATGGCGATTCAAGGTGACTATAATGATTTTTTATGTGTTATTGTGTAATTTGGGGAAGTGGGATTGTCTTGTACTGTTTTGTGTTTGGTTGATGCTGTAAATTGATTGCATTTTCCATTTGATTTTGACATTGAGGCTGTTTGATGTTAATTCCTAGTTTTTGAATGCATGGTAAATTGGTAATACTATTTGCTTCTATGTTTTTACCCCCCCTTCAAAAAAGGACATGCCATTAGTAACTAAAGTATGTGAATTAGAGCTATTTCTATAGAAGAAGAGTTTTACACTGCTTTTTATTGAAGCTTTCCACTCTGTTTTAAAGTTCACTGTCCTTTAACTTATTAACCATTTGGCAGTCTGACAGATGCAGTTGCCATGGATTGTGAAATGGTTGGCGTTGGTGAAGGAAACAAAAGTGCCCTTGGAAGAGTAACGCTGGTATTAATTTGTTCCTCTTCACCTTGCTATAATATATGCACATTTAGAAATATGTTTTTTTTTTTTTAAAAGTTATCTGGCATTGATGAATTCATATCATTGAAAAGAATGTCTGATTGGTTAAGTTATTAACTAATCATTTATAGAATTTTCCCCTTCATCCTAATCCATTTTATTTTCTATTGGCTATGGATTTCTGCCTGAAATACTGTTTTAGAATTGCACTTAAATTCTCTTGTCCCAATACAATGCTGATGGTTTTGAAGATTAACGTGCCTTTGCTCATAGTTATAACTTATATATACTTTAACTGTATATTTTTTAACCATGTGGTGTGGCTCAGTTGGCTACGTGAGCTCCACGTGGGAGGATTTTACCTGCAATGCAGGATGTTGAATCCCACTGGAAGTACCTTGTGGCCAGGGCTACACCATCAGACTCTTGAGTGGGGATTAGTTTCACACCTAAAGGGTGTGGGGATATCTTGCGGGAGCCCCAAATTGGAAAAAAAATAAAAAAAATAGTTTATGTTGTTTGAAGATATATCATCATTGGCTGTCTTTTCCTTGATTTTTCTTTTGAGTTTCTGATAGGAATATAGTCATGTAAATATATGTAGGTTGGCTAGTAGGGGATTATTGGAGTATGAAGTTTGTTAGTTAGTATATTCTAGAAGAATCGCTGAGGTGGCAAGGTTGTTAGAAGGAATAAAAAGGGTGGAGAGGTGTGGAGAAGGATTCAGATGGGAACTTGGGACTTGGGCTGGGAAACCAGATTGGGAGAGAACCAGAGCACTCTCTAATTGCTCTGAAATTATCTTTTGTTTTTCTTACCTTTCCATTGTAATTTTCTTCTGTTCCATTGCTGTTTTTTGTATTCATTGTAATTGTCTTTTTTAGTTCAATATACAGAAAATCCAGATTGATTCTGGGCCATTTCCTTGGTGTTTGTGCGCTATCTCTGATACATTTTTCCAGATCCTATCAATTGGTTTCAGAGCACTCTGATCCTAGGAGTGCTTTGAACGGTTCTTATGCACAACATGGACAACCGATTTGAGATCATAGAAGAGAGGATGAGGAGGAATGAAGAAATTGCAGAAGTGAGGAGTTGCATAATTGATCAGAAATTGACAGAAATCTTGCAGCTCCTTCAACGGCGACAAGGAAGGGCAGGTAGACGAAACAGAGACAAGCATCATCATAGTGGTTGTTCTCGCAAGAGAAATCTAGACTCCTTTGAATCGGAATACAGATCTGAAGCAGACGAAGCCCATGATCACAAAACGCTGCAGGATGAGAGATCCAACAGAATCGAGGGAGTCGAGCGTGGGTGTCAAACCCATTGCTGCAGGATCCCAACACTCAACCTCCTGAAGATCGTCGAAGAAGAGGAAGCTACGAAAACATATGGCAGTGGCGATCCCACAACTCAACCACTCATAGCCGAACATTTTGGGGAAAATCCGAGCAACGTGCGCTCAACTGAACGGAGCGCGCGCAGATTGGAGATGCCCAGCTTGGAAGATCTGTTGAAGGAGACGACATGGGAGAAACCAAATGTAACGTGCTTAGGTGATGGGTTTGGAGTTGGGCCTAGTGTGAAAGGACAATGGGCCGGGTCAGGTAGATCCATGCAAACCACAACCCAATCAGTGTGGGTACAAGGCACGTGAGCCAAATTAGTTCAAATAACAACAATTCTGGCAGCAACACGCGTCCCATTAATCCTATCTCAAGCGTTGACAAGAAACTGAACATTAACACACGGGTTCAAGAGGGTGGAGTCTCCAATTTCGTGAAGAAGGAAGAAAGCGTTGCAAGTAACAATGGGCAGAGTGAAGGAAGGCGTTTAACCCAGGCCGAACTCCAAGATATGCGAAAAAGGGGGTTATGCTTTATATGTGAAAAACAGTGGAACCCAAGTCTTCGATGCAAGGTATTTGCTCTTATGGATTATAACCTTCCTGACCTAATTGGAAATGGAAGTGAGGAAATGAAATCTGAAATGAGTCTTAAAGATGCATTAGATGATTTGGACATTTCCTTGATTTGTAAGATATTTCCGTCAATTACTTTGGGTAGTGCTACTCAAGTGGATTTGTATAATGGGGCTGAATCATATTTTGAAACAAACAACATTTTAGCAACAGAAGACTTGGAAACATTAAGAGAAAAAGATTCTCGTTCTTTTGCTTTGAAACCTCATTCAATGTCTTCAATATATGAAGAAAAATTGAAACAAGTCATCACTGAGGATTCTTAAATGAAAGTGGGGCTGCAGTCACAATCAAACCTTACACCCAACGAGTTATTTCTTGACAAATCTGAGAATTCCTTACTTGGATTAAGTAAGAGGCACTACCAACAGTTGCTGACAAACATTTTGAGGCCCTTACTTGGCCTAAATTTATTCTCGTTTGTTGTGGTAAAAGCCATTCAAGTTGGACAAATATGGGATCCTGGTGGACAACATCTTACTTTGAGCACATGTGGATCTCTACAATTCAAGCAATGGGATCCCGGTGGAAGGTACTCAGGGGCTAAACCTCACCTTGAGGGCAATGCGAGTGTTTAAGGGGGGCAGTATTGATAGGAATATAGTCATGTAAATATATGTAGGTTGGCTAGTAGGGGATTATTAGAGTATGAAGTTTGTTAGTTAGTATATTCTAGAAGAATCGCTGAGGTGGCAAGGTTGTTAGAAGGAATAAAAGGGGTGGAGAGGTGTGGAGAAGGATTCAGATTGGAACTTGGGACTTGGGCTGGGAAACCAGATTGGGAGAGAACCAGAGCACTCTTTAATTGCTCTGAAATTATATTTTGTTTTTCTTCCTTTTCCATTGTAATTTTCTTCTGTTCCATTGCTGTTTTTTGTATTCATTGTAATTGTCTTTTTTAGTTAAATATACAGAAAACCCAGATTGATTCTAGGCCATTTCCTTGGTGTTTGTGCGCTATCTCTGATACATTTTTCTAGATCCTATCAGTTTCTTGTCATCCATCTGAGACCATTAAGTGCAAGTGTTAGATAGGCACTAATTGGCATTATGAAAGCCTGCTATTGACAACTATGATGCTACTTTGAATATTTCAATGTGATGCAAAACCCATTTTTGATAACACTATAAAATTCCTCTTTTTTTTTTTTTTTTTTTTTGCTATTTTCCAACATCAAAAATAAAATTAAAAGCCCTGAGAAATTCCATCCAGTATGTTTGTGAAGCCAAATCAATCTCAACTCTATTTCGAGTAAGAAATCCTATCTTAAGACTCAAGTGGTCCAAATTTGAAATAGTAGAATTCTAATTTAACATTTAATAGTAAAACCAAAATTCTATATGACTATATTAATTTCCAAATTTCTTTAACACAATTAATTATTGCCAATTATCATTACTATCTTCATCTCATCTCCTATTGCATTGCTAAATCATTTTTTCTAATATTAGTTCAGTTGATGGCAGGTTAATAAGTGGGGAAATGTTATTTATGACGAGTTTGTTCGGCCAATTGAGCGGGTTGTTGACTTCCGCACTAAAATTAGTGGCATAAGACCTCGAGATTTGAAAAAAGGTTTGCTTGATATTCCTTTGTCTACAATTTTAAATTATAGTTGAAATTATTGAAACCTAAAAGTTCCAAAAGATATTAGGGAGTTTGACATCTGATGGTCAAGTTGAGACTTAAGAAATTATTATTTAGAGGGAATTATACCAACTTTCAATCTCCCTGTAGAAACATTAATCTTCATTGTAGTCCCTGAAAGTTAAAATCTTCAATCAGTCACACTCTATGAAACTCTTGTATGCTTCATGCTGTATAAGAGAACGTTCTGCCTCTTATATTGCTAGTCTTGAAAGGAAAAGGGAGGAGGGGTTAACTACAACAGCTTTGAGTTTCAAGTTTCAACATTTGTGGATGTCATCTTACTTCTACTGATATAGTTTGGACATTTTTCAAGAGCATCTTGATTCTCCTTTGTTCTTTATCTTTGATTTCAAAGTTTTTAAGTGGCTTTATCAAAGCATGTGTTCCGTGTCAAAACTTTCAAGAGCTGTCCTGTATTAATCCCTAACTTGTAGTGGTCTAGCTTATTTGGTGGGATTGAGAATGTGGAAAATGCTCCAGTCATAGTGTTAAATACTCCATTATGCTTGATCTAGACAGAATGTGATATGCGATGTGTAGTTTAATTTGATTAGCAGTTGGAAAGAAGCCATTGTCTATAATGTTAAGAGGTTAAGGTTCGGCTATTACTCTATTAGCATGTCTCAATTCTTTAAAGCAGCTATAATAGCTTATCGTTACTATGAGGATGAGGATTTTTCCTAACCATTTCTATGATTAGCATTTTGATTCCTACGCTGATAAGCAAATACATCTTTCAACATGATGATACGATTTGTAGGAAAAGATTTTTGGACTGCTCAGAAGAATGTGGCAGAGTTGATCAAAGGAAGGATCCTTGTGGGTCATGCCTTGAACAATGATTTTAAGGTCTGCATTGTAGCAGTTATTCTCTTTCTTTTTCTTGATTTGCATCTATGTTTTTCTTGTCAGTCTGTTGTATGTAAAACTAAGAATTAGGCTGTACTTTTGCAGGCATTATTATTAGGTCATCCCAAAAAGGATATACGGGATACCTCCGAGTACCAACCATTTCTAAAGTGCTGTCACCTTACTGCTTCTTCCAGTTGTTTTGCTTTGTCTTTTTATATTCCAAATGTCCCTATAATATGTTCTAAAAATTTGCCTCTTGGTTTAAGCAGGTCAAGTAAGAGAAGAGCACTGCGGCATCTTGCTGCAGAACTTCTTGGTGTTAAGATCCAAACAGGAGAGCACTGCCCGGTTAGTCTATCTAACATTTTCTCCCTCCCCCAACCCTCTTTTTTGTTTCATGTGATCAATTGACAAATAGAACTATTAGTATGTTGGGTAATTGGCAATTGTGTTTCTATGCTAAAAATTGCACTAGCTTTAAGAAGTTAAAGCTTCCATTCTTAATAAGTTTGAATTTCCCCCCCTCATCTATAAGCCTATGTCTAGCCCTGGAGCAGTGGTAAGATTGCTGCTTGTGACCGAAAAGTCAGGGGTTTGAGTTTGGAAAACAGTCCTTTTGCAAAAATTGCAAAAGTAAGATTATGTACAATCGCCCATCACCTTTACTCTCGTAAGTCGGGGAGCCTTGTGCACTGGGATTTGCTTTTTACCTATGAGCCTATGTGTCAATCTGGTGTTAGCATGCTGAAAAATCCATCTGAATCTGTAAAACATGGAATAAGAAGTCTAATGCCTCCCTCTTGTTTCAGATAGAGGATGCCCGAGCTGCTATGCTGCTTTACCAAAGAAACAGAAAAGAATGGGAGAATAGCATAAAAGATCAATTTCGGTTCAAACAGAAACAAAAGAAACAGAAGCAGAAAAAGAAGCAAAAGAATGAAGATGCTTCAAATGCCAACCACACTGGAATTGGATCATAGCATCAGGTGCCCCTTTAATATAAAAAGATTCTGGTCAGGGGACCTCTCCTTCAATGGTTTTTGTATTGCTTAAATTTGAATTTGAACGAAAATTAGTTTTTGACATAGTTAATGTAAGATCAATATTTGCTAGCTCGCTCGCACTGTTGTTCATTCTTTAGTATATTAACATTAGAATGTACTTTGAAATTTTGAATTATATTAAAGATCATATAATATTACTTGCTCATTTTAAAGACAAAGTCACTTTGATAATAATTTCTTTTCTATTGAGATGCTTCTAGCCAATCATTTGGGTTAAGGCTCTAGATATGCGTTTAAGTGATTTACCATCGTATTAATGAGACTCGGTAAATAAGTGACTAATGGTTATTTCTCCCATTTTTTCATGTGAACACTGAAAATTTAAAAAAAGGGTGACATTACAGAAAATGCAACTTTCATAGCAGTTCTGTAAATTGAGTGAGGAATGTCAATTTTTTTATTCTTTGCTTAATTTGAATAGACAAGTTCACCTTCCTTTTTTTTTTTGTGTGTTAAAATGAACAAGTTTACATATTCCTTACTTGAGGATGAAGTGTATTAGGCTACTTTAGATTTTATTATGAGGCCATGTTTTCTCAGTTTTATTTTTAAGTAAATTCCTTAATTGGTCTCTAAAAATTTTTAAGTTGGGCACCTTAGTTTTTAAACATGTAAATGTTACATTTTGGTACTTTAGGTTTCTAAGACAAAAAAAAATTATAAGTATAATCTGTTTATATTAATTGTTAAGTACCAAACACATTAAATGTCGGCATCTGTAAAGTTAAAAAACTAGAGTAATTTTGGGCTAAAAAAAAAAACGAGTAATTTTTTTATAATTTCAAACACTAATGTATTCTCACCCTAAAACTTTTTAAACGATGAACTATTATTATTTTTGGGACAATTATACTTATTACTATTTTACATTTACTATTCTTATTACTTTGAATTAATTTGAAATCAACTCTTATCAATCAGGTAATAAGAGTAATAAATTTAAAATGATAGTAAGTATAATTTTTTTTAACAAACACAATAAATGTACTGTCTTATGCAGAAAATTTCTATATAGAGAAGTAATAACTAATGAGAAAGGATTCATTACAAATTTTTATAAATTATATTATTAATTTTTAGAAGTAGACACCGTGGTGTAATTTAATATGGATTTTTTTTCACCAAATGACCATTAGATCAAGATCGCAACTACCAAGGGCGCGCCATTAACATCAATCGTTTAAACGCAACGAAACGAAGCCACCTTTTCTCTCTTTCTTTCTCTGCGGACCAAAACGCAGACACGTTCCTCTCTTGTCTCACTCACTTTCACTCACATGCACACTCGTCAAACTCAAAATCCCTAAAACCCAAGAGAGGTATCCAATTCCACTCCAATGCTCTGAAACCCAACCTCTTAACATTGACAAGATGCGGATTCTGAGTAATCGCGGATTGAGAAGAATCACACTCTCTGCTTCAAATCATCATCATCATCATCATCATCATCACCGAAGGTCCTATGTCTCAACCTGCAGAGGCGTGCTTCTTCCCTCTTTCGGAGGACCCGAGGTTCTCCAGCTTCACTCCAACATTCAAGTTCCTCCTCTGAAACCCAACCATGTCCTCGTTCGCGCTCGCGCCGTTTCCGTTAACCCCTTAGATACCCGAGTGAGATTCATCACAAAGTTTCGTTCTTTTCTTCGAGTACAATAATGGGGTGTTCTTCGTTTTTTTGAATTTAATTCTTTTTTTGAAATTGTTGTTTCGTTCAGATGCGTTCCGGTTACGGTCGTTCCATTTTCGAGCCGCTTTTGCCTCTTATTTTGGGCCGTGACGTCAGCGGCGAGGTTGCGGCTGTCGGAGCTTCGGTTCGGTCTGTGAAAGTGGGTCAAGAAGTTTTTGGGGCGTTGCATCCAACTGCACTGAGAGGCACTTATGCTGACTATGCAATTCTCTCCCAAGAGGAGGTTACTTCAAAACCAGATTCGCTAACTCATGTGGTATGTGTTCTTGGAAGCTTGTGATTTTGGAGATTAGTTCTAATGAATTTGATTCTGTTTTGATCCCTTTCTTTGGAGCATTTTGCAATTTTTATATGTAACTTTCTGTTGAGTTGATGAATCTGTTGTCAGGGGTTAGTAAGTTATAACTTAGAATACAATATGTGATGAATGTGAAAGGAATTATAGTAGATTGAGCACCATGGAAGAGAGAATTTGAGAATTGAAGAATCAGTTTGTAACACTGGGTATCTGCAGAATGTAACTATGGACTTTGTTACAATAACTAATTTCTAACTCTAACTAACTGTGACTAAGGGATGCAGTTGCAACTAACTGCTGTTAACTATAACTGACTAGTTACTTAACTAAATGCTATGTCAGAATGGAACCAGGCAATAAAAATGTATTTTAACTGAAACCCTGTGAAGTCTCTTGCTTTCTTTTTGTGTGTATGTTTCACTATGTGCAATGTGTAATAGTTTTTTGTATATCTTTGTTGCGCCATTCTCTTGGGGTTGGGTAGAATGAGGGATTCAAGTGCTCATTGATTGAAGAAGAACCAATGTTGATAGTTGATACCTAAGTGGGAATATGTTGGACTACAGAACTGTATTGCAGTCAATGTGAGCACAAGTTCAGCTATAGCGAGGGATTTATTTTACCCTGACTAAGGGTGCATTTGGATAATCTTTTAAAAAAAAGTGCTTTTATGATATGGTTTTTAATTTTTTTCAATTTTTTTCAGGAGTTACTTTTTTAACTTTTAAGAAAAGCACTACAAATGCTTTTTTGTATTATTGCTCCTTTGAAAAACATATGTAATAATCATAAATTTTGTAAATGTGTTAATAAAAAATTGCTTTTTTTTTAAAGAATGTATAATCAAACGGTCCTAATTCGTAACAGAAATTATATTTTTCATTATGTATCTGCTATTATTTAGAAAAGCATTATTTTTTTTTTTTTAAGATCTGTGGCTAGAAGGAAACATTTTAAAGTGTGCCTAAGGTGGAATTAATTATACTATAGATTATGCAATATTTTGAATTACTCTATAGACTCATTTCACATTGGATCTAACCTTTTTCTTTCTTTCTTCCCTTATTCAAATTAGGGGAGAGATGATTAGAATGTGATGATTAACTTCTTATAGATTGTAATGTTTAGTAGAGAAAAAAGTTTTCAACTTATATGTGTGTTGCTGCGCTAGTCTTTCTAAAATGTCCTTCAACTGCATATTGTCCAAAGGTGTGCTTATTTCTTGCACGCCCATTTAATTCTCCAAAGTGAGAGATACAACAATAATCTTTGTCTGGGTATGTCCAATTCATTGGTTTTACCATCACTCTGATAATTACATGTTACAATATTTTTAGTGCTTTCTATATTTAACGATTGACCATGATTTTTCCGCCATTATTTACTTTGGCCCACTGAAGGCATGCTTTTTGTTATTTTGTTATCTTGTAGGAAGCAAGTGCCATTCCTTTTGCTGCACTGACTGCTTGGCGTGCTCTAAAAAGTACTGCTAGAATAAGTGAGGGGTATGTTTATATTGGTGAGATTATGATTTCCATGAGTAAAAAATAATTTTTTCTCTTATTTACTCCTTTCTGTACCTTTTGATTATTTATTTATTTATTTTTTGGTATTTTTATTACTCACTTGATGTTCAGCTTGCTAAAAACTCTCATGTTTCACTCACTTATATTCTTTAGCTTATCTCAAACAGACAAAGGATATTAGTAGTGGGAGGTGGAGGAGCAGTAGGATTTGCTGCAATTCAGCTTGCAGTAGCCGCTGGTTGCCCTGTTGTAACTACTTGTGGAAGTCAAAGCATTGACCGCATGTTAGCTGCTGGTGCTGAGCAGGCTGTTGATTATGTTGCTGAGGTGGTGTTGAATCTTCTTTTGTATCATCTATCCATAGTTCAGATATTTCAATTATGCCAGATGCTATTCAAGTTTTTTGTTTTGATATAAAATTTCATGAAATGGAAAATAACAATACTTAGAATAATGATTTATAGAAAACAGAAAATAATATGTAAGAAAGGAAAATAAAACAAAGGGATTTTGAAAGAGGCTATAGCTGGCCTTTGTTGAAAGTGGCAGGTGACTGACTGTTACTGTGTGTACATCAGTACATGGATGAAAATAATTATTTCTTTTTAAAAGAAAAATTATTGGTAGTGGGAAGACAATGAAAATAATCATGTCAAAAGCGGAGACATGGGAGAGACAATTGGGGTTTAATCATCTGAATAAGTTGATTTGTTTTATTTTAATTGTTTTATTACATTTATGAAACAGAAATAATGAATAAATCCTAATTTAACTTATTCTCCCAGAAATATGAATAAATCCTAGTCCCGTAAGGAGTGGGACTCTCTAGTACTACTAAACCCAAAAGGGAAACTTGGAGATGAAAATATGACCCAGTAAGACCTAATTTACTTAAACCCAAGACCCAGATATACAAAAATCAGTAGAATACCTCTAAGACTGAGAATGTAAAATTAGTTAAAGTAACAGATTACTAAAGCTAATAACCTATATTATAGTCATCCAGTATGTTTATGGATTAGTACAATCACTCCCCCCCCACAAAAAAAAAAATGCAAGGATAATCTAATCTTTGAGCTTATGCTTTCTTGATGCTAGTGCTTATTGCATATGACTTGCTTTGTCTTATAACTTCATTCTTGATTCACAGGATGTTGAAATGGCTATAAAGGGGAAGTTCGATGCTGTTTTGGACACTATTGGTGGTCCAGAGACAGAACGGATGGGCATTAATTTTCTTAAGCGAGGTGGGCACTACATGACACTTCAGGTAGGATATAGAAATTTATCACCTTTTTCATCTTATCACACTTGCAGGTGTCCTCTTGGCTCATTGCCAGAACGACCTTTAAGATGTTTCCCTTAGTGAAATTTGAGGTTAAATCTTTCATTTTTCTTTCTTTGAAGGGTGAGGCAGCATCATGGGCTGATAGTTTTGGACTGGCTATTGGGCTTCCTGTAGCTACAGCTCTTCTATTGAAAAAACAGATACTATACCGATACTCTCATGGAATAGGTAGATATCGCCAGTCTGTCATATGTTATTTTGCTTTAACTCCTTGAATTATGTCACTTATTTGCTGTGATTTCTATCTTCTCTTTGACGTATTGTTTTTGCTAAGCAATATATATATTTTATGCCCCTCCCACTCCTCCATTGTAGGCTAAAGAAGCAGTGAATGAGGTGGAGAGAAAATTATTATTTATTGTGCTAATTGAAATAATGCCTGTGGCTAGAGGAATTTTCCTCCTGCCTCTACATCACCTTTGGGAAAAAAGTTTTGAATTAGATATCTAAAGCATTGATAAAATCTGAAGCTGAACCAACCAAATGAAGAAATAGGAATTCTACAAAATGGGTTATGCTGTAATTTCTTTATATACTCCATGGCTTTTTTTCCTTCGTGGCAGAAACTTACACTAGGCAAGCTGCAATAGTCTTCAGTGCTGGACAGTTAGAACTAAACTTTCTGCTAATAAATCAAGATCAGTAACTGATTAGACATATGAAGTTTTTTCCTTTAAAAAAATGTGAAAACAAATCCCCTCTTTCCTTGTGATGCAGAATACTCATGGACATACATGAGGGCTGACTTAGAAGGTTTAATTGAGATTCGAAAGCTGTGTGAAGCTGGGAAGATGAAGATACCTGTGGATAAAACGTTTCCCATAACACAAGTAAAAGAGGCTCATGAGGCAAAAGATAAGAAGATCATTCAAGGTAAAGTAGTGCTAGAACTTGATTGACGTCCTCAAGCCCATCAGGGAGTTGCTAGAACTAGAATCTTTTTTTGGTTCTCTCTTCAATGGATTGTTCCACATTTGATTGAGAAATGGATAGTGCTTTTTCTGGGTTTTCACTTTATGATAGAAAGTGAAACTTTTTTTTGTAAGTTTTGAGTCATAATATCCGATCAAAACAATTTGTAAATTGATTGAGAAGTTTGGGTGACTGTTCTCTTTTTAGTCATGTCATGTCAATTTGTGAAAGGTGCGGGTATGATGTTTATACCTCTAAAACTCCCATGTGTCAGTTGCACTCACCATCAGTAGCTAGTCCATGTTCTCTTGAATTGTAACATTGAAAGAGAACACTGCTGAATTATTAGCAGAAAGCATATAAATTGTATAGTGCTAGAGAGTAGAGAGATAGGCATCATTTGTTATTGAAATGGCCTGATCTCATGAACATTGTCATGTAGCATTTGTCTGTTTACTTTATTATTTGAACTGTTTAGAACAAGCTATAATTTGTTTCGTTCTTCCTTGATCACATGTAGCATTCGTGATTCGTATACATTAAAAAAGATGTACCTAAACTAAAAACTTGTATATACAACTGTTAAATTATATATGTTCTAGTGGGGCACAATGTAACATGGGTTGTATTAACACTTTGACAAGACCTAGTAGTGGTCACCACACCAGCTGGAAGGGATGAATGGACAAACTTCATTTTTTTTTTCACCTTCTCTTGTATTATAACCCTCTAATGAACTCAATAATTATCATCTTTTCGAAAATATAAAGGTACCTTAAAAACCCTCATTGGCTACTTTTTGGTGTTGGCTTTTCCCTAAAACCGGGCCTCATGCAAAACAGTCCAAAATGCCAGACAAACTAATCTCAAATTGTTGTATAATATAAGGGGAAAGTACTTCTTATCTGACTGCAGAATAGAAAAAGTGCAGCAACACAGGATACGCGTCTGAATCTTGGTTTTTTTTTTTTTTGATAGAATTCGCACGTGTATCCTAGGATCCGCACGTGTATCCTAGTGTTAAAAATTTGCTGTAACTTTTTTCATCAGCAGTCACATGAGAAGCGACGGACCCATAATATAAATGGGTTATATAAAAGTGATGTTGTAGAAAAAGTGATTGTGTTACGTTTGCGTGTCGTAGTTTTTTTTTTTTTTTATCCAAAAAATGCGGGTCTTACAAAATGTTGTGCATGTGAGAAATTTTTTCTTGTCATGTTAAATGATGAATGCAGATCTTAATATAAATATATAAAAATATATTATTATTTGATAGACGTTGGTTCCATAATGTGCTTTTCAGTAGCAGTTTTGTCAAGTTGTGGCGTACAATGTTTGGTCAACCCCTTCTTTTTAAGTAACCTTGACCCACTTATCATTAAACTTTGGAGTTAGGATCATAGTATGTGTTTTGGCGCGTGCTTCTCTCTTTGTCTATGTGGGCTGGACCACACCCACCCTAACCTATTCATATTAAATGCTTTCTCTTGTTGCATGTGACCTGAGTTTAGATGGTTATAGGGTGTTTAGCATTCTGTAATTATGTGATTAATTTTTCTTCTATTATAAGAAATAATTTTATCTCCGGTACATATATATAAAAGTGTGTGAGATTTATATAATTTTTTTTTCTCTCTTCTTTTCATATAGTTTCTTATGAATCCTATGCATTTTAATGTGTGAAGAAATATAAATATCTTTATTTATTTAAATAATTAAGCAACTTTGATCAAGTTGTGCACTCTAAGTTAGCATTACGTGGCAGACAAAATTACTAGCATAATTCAATAAGCTATGTTATGCCTTACAGCACCTGGTTTTTGCAAAGCAAATCCTTTTTTCTGCCACGCGCCACATGCGCGCAGATTTCTATGATATACGTGGGGAGCATAGTAAACAGCACAGTTCTACACAAACGGGTTCCTATGCTTGTTTCAGAATCTTATATCTATTCTCCTTTTCATGCGCGTGATTGCATACTTCCCATGCGTTACTAGGCTTTTTATATTTTGGCCCGTTATTAGATTTCTCCTATCTTTTCCTTTTTAATAGTTAGGTTCATATCATCAGCACATTATTCCAATCAAAACATGGTGTTGTCCAAATTATCAATGTTTTCTTAAATAAAAAAATGACACATTATTCCAAATTTTTATATTCAGGAACAAATCAAAATATATCCATCCCCAAATAATTAATATGGAATGCAATATAAAAGATGAGCAAAGGCATGAACATGAAAGAAATGTAAAGAGAGTAAGGCGCGTGGGGTGAAAGGAAAGCAGTGCAATGTATGATTGGGACTTGGGAGCAACTACGATGATTGGATGCATGAAATTGCAAAGCTTTAAAGTGAGGTCACGTGCGGTGCACATTCCTCATTGTTTTTTTCACGTCGTCTCTATCCTATTCCCATGTGCCATCTTCCCAAAATACCCTTCCTTTCCCCTTTTATTTCCTAACTCCCACTCCCACTCTTATAGTTTTTTAATTTTGAATTTGTTTTCATTTTTTTTATCCCTTTTTTAATAACCATTTTTATAATATAATATGGCTTTAATGCTTCTACACTGAATGTATCTAGCTCTCAAAATGACGTCGATTAAAAAATTATAATAAAAAAGACTATTATAATCCTAAAATAAATTATAATTACAAAAGTAACTTGATTTCCGTCTCAAAACGACGTCATTTTGGGCTCAATATAGATAAGTTTTGGGGAATAAATAGGTTAGGCTAAACTTTGGCTTAAATAGGCCAGGCTTGTGTAAAAACATTGGGTATGGCCTGGTCTATTATCCTGTGTAAGCCCCTAATTATAAGTCTGGCAAATAAAAGCCTTGACCTAAGCCTGTTAGCCTATTTAAACCTATTAAACATTCCACAATTAAAAGAATAACTAAAATAATATTATTTTAGTTATTCAAAATTATTAAAATAATTATTTTATTTATTATATTTTAAATAAATAATATGATATAGACCGACCTGTAGCCTTATAAGTCCGACATGTACAAAAAAGTCTATGACCTATTTTCTAAATATGTTTTTTTAAAAGCCTAGATCTGTTCTATTTTACTATGTATAATAGGTCAAACCTGGCCTATAATAGGCCAGGCCGTAGGCCCCTATAGGTCGGCTTAGCTCACTTATACCCCTATATAAGTTATTTACAGTGACCGTAAAAAAAGCGAACTCATATAATAATTATTCAGAAAGTAATTACTTCGTTCACACATTTAGAAAAACATAAATGGGATATATTTATGCAGTTGCATAAAAGGAATTTTTTTTTGCAGCTGAGCCATCCATTGCAGTGCTTTTTGATTTTTTTTTTGGCTTTCTTTCTCCTATGTCCCATAATTACTCTGTTTGCGGGAAGAGAGAGAACTTTTCCGGTAAAAGGAGAAGTTACAAGATAAATATATATAAATCAATCATTTATTTTTACTATCACATTATAAAAAATTATTAACATCAAAGCAAATTTTAACTGAAATAAAATACTTCATTCGATATAAAAATTACTTTGGTTGGGCTATGCTGTATAGATAAATGTGGGTTGGTTAAAAACATAGTTTTATGTAATATTATATGGGAAATAATACTCTCATGTCACGTGAGATACTCTCATTTTTCTACACAAATTCGTTTTTCGTGCCAAATAATATTTCTTTTCTTTTTAATATAAAATATGGGACCCACATTTAAGTTCTTTCTACTTTTTTTCTCTCCTACAATCCTATAACATAAGAAAAGTTAAACCCATATTATATTTAATCAGCAGTGAAAAAATTTACCAAAAGAAAAAAGTTTAGAAAACAACAAAGAATAATAATAGTGTCTTGTGAAGAGTGGACTGTGAAAACTGAGAACTGAGGAGTGGGGGAAAGCCGAAAAAACCGTACATTACATGAAGACACTGTAAACAGTACATTGTTGATTATTTAGTATTTACACATACAAATACAAACCTGCATTTCTCAATTCTCACACCACACGGATGCATGGATTAATTTTGTGAAAGTGGCATGAATATGAAGATATTCCCAATGCCAAAAACATGTTCATCATTTCTCCTTCTATGATCTGGCCACGTTCCTACATATATGTCACACTATTTCACTCCATGTAGCCCCTTAGAATGCATCTTTAGAATATTACATCTCAAATGTATGTGCATATATTTATTTATCGTGGCACTCTCTTTGATTCCAACCATTTCCCATGATGCCACCTGCGTATAGTATTTTATATGATTCTCTATATCTGGAATAGAGTCCTTCATTATTGTAGAATACACTCGTTGTGAGTGTTATCAGAATGGGAAATGTTGACGAATGAATTAAGACAATTGATGAAGTATATATGAAATTAGATAGTATGTTAAATACTCAGTATTCATTAGTTTTATTATATACAGGAATATTATTAAAATTATTCAATATTATACATCCTACATCACATTTCTAGTTTGTAGGCCATTAATTTGCCGAATTAAGACTAAAAGTAACGGGCAGAATTTTCTCAAATAGGATTTGAGACTCTTCCTTAAATGTGGCTGAGTATACAGCTGATTTTGACTAATATCATACCGTTAGGTAGGGTGCTTTTGTTTTGTGTAAGGTTTTTTTTCCTAACTTTTAGTTGTTCTGATTATTACTTGTTGGTTAAGTTTTTTTGTACTTTTGGTTATTTTGGTAGTGTTTTGTTGATAAGAAACTATAGTTTTCCAAGTAAGAAGAAAACTATATACATTTTATCCAGAAATGATTTTAGAAGATTTACCAAGTTTTATTTATGATAATATTATTGATTTTACTGAAATATCCAATATATATTTTACACTTTGGATTATATATGCCCAAAATCTCCTTTATACATGTCACCGTTTTATAAAAAATCTATATATGCATGTTTTTCTGATATTGGTTCCACTTCACTGTGAAATTTCTTTTCCACCCACCACCTTCTTTCCTTTTCCGTTCTTTTTTCCCTAACTTTCTGTCATTACCAAAGTTGTTGATCTGCCAAAAGTCTCGTGCAAGCAGAGGTGATTTTTCCTTTTTCAGCTGAACACAGAGATGAACCTTGAAACTTGAGTACTTCACTAACAAGTATCATTCAAACCCTCCTGATCATATGATTCATATTACACTATCTCTCAACCTATCTCACACCGACACTGACATGGAATATAAGATACGATACAACACGATATTTTGATATGTTAATTTTAACAAATGTTAAATTTTGACATGTTAATATACATTTTGATATTATATAATATTTTTAGTTTATGTAGTGTATATTATATTTAGTATTCAATAATTTAACAAAAAAATAAAGCTACACTTATAATACCCATCAATTTTGCAAAGAAACATGAAATATCTCAAATATATATATTAAACTCAATAAAATCATAATCGTAATCTAACAAATTTAATAGTTAGAACTCAAAATACAACATAACGTAGCCTTTGAACCTTTTTTGAGTCTTTGCAATGAATATTGAAGTGTCGAAAAGTGTCGAAAAGTGTCGAAGTATTAGACACGACATATTAAAATTTTTGAAATGTGGATGTATCATGGCTCTTTAAACATCTTGCAGTGCTCCCAAGAATTTCCACAACAAAAGAAGGGTATTATTGTCAAATAAGCAAAAAAACAACAACAATTGGCAACAAGACCCTACAAAAACAAGCACTGAGTTACATTTTGCTAAAGACAAACAAGCATTTCGTCACCTTCCATTAAACCCTTTTTCTCTTCTCACTTTCTCTCTCACTCTTCTCTCACACTCACATAACCTTGCAATCTGTAGCACTGCAGAGGCCACCCCACCATACCACCAAAGCAAAGCTTTTTCATTTATCAAACCCTTTGTGTTTACCATCCCAAAAAAATCTTGCTTTGTCACTGAATGGCCATATCTTAGGCAAATGTTTTGTTGTAACAAAAATAAAAAAATAAAAATAAAAATGAAAAAATGGACATAGAGAAACCCCATCGTACCACAAGTAGCAATAGCAGCAGCAAAAGTGAGCTCTTTGTTTGCTTCACTTCACGTTTGTCTTCTTCATCCATGAAGCTCTCTTCCAAGTCCATTCTCAGCCCAAGCCGCAGTAGAGACCCTCCTCAGATTTCTCTCTCATCTTCCTTAAGCAGGAGGCTCAAGAGTAATGGTAGCATGAAAGGAGGCCAAGCTTCTCCAATGTTCCCAACTGGGGGCAAGAGAAGAGGGTGTGGTTTTGAGAATCCTGAACCTTCATCCCCCAAAGTAACATGTATTGGACAAGTGAGGGTGAAAACCAAGAAGCAAGGGAAGAAGATGAGGGCAAGATCAAAGAGAAGAGGAGGAGGAGAAGCAAGCTTCAGGAAAACAACAGAACAAAATTTTCAGGTTGCAGCAAATCCAGATCTCACTAGACAAAACAGCCAGAGCTTTCAGTATCAGAATCACCAGAACTTGCAACAGGAGTGCTTGAAGCACAGGAATCAGAGATGGGTTCATCTCCCTTTGACAATTTGTGAAGCCTTGAGAGAATTCAGTTGCTTCTTTCCTTGCCGTTCCTCTTGCATGTCAAGTGAGAGGGAGAAAGAGAAGTCTGCAAGTGGTGGTGGTGTAGTAGTTATTGGAGGAGGAGGAGGAGGAGTAGGATCTGGTGGTGGAGATGGAAGAGAGGGTTCTTGTGGGGCTGCATTTGCAAAATGGGTGGTGGCTATGCAAGAAGGGGAAGGGAAGGGAAGAGGGATTGAGCTTGTAATGGGTGAAGAAGAAGAAGAAGATGATGATGATGATGATGATGATGATAATGATGGAAGACATAATGCTGAGAGAAGCCACAGCCAGAGAAGGCATGTGTTTGAAGACATTGATATTGATGTAGTTGAAGGGAAGAAACATGAGGAGTTTGTAGGAGGAGGAGAAGAGGAAGAGAAAGCAAGAGTTAGCATTTGCATCCCACCAAAGAATGCTCTTTTGTTGATGAGGTGCAGATCTGATCCTGTCAAAATGGCTGCTCTTGCTAACAGGTTCTGGGAATCACCTGTTCAGAAGCACCATGAAGACTTTGAAGAAGAAGATAATGATGATGAGGATACTGTAGATGAGGAAGAGGAACAAGAAGAAGAAGGAGGAGGAGGAAGTGATGAAGACCAACATATTGAAATGGAGGAAGATGAAGAACAAGAACAAGAAGTGGAAGGAGGAGAAATCAAAGAAGATAGCATTTGTGATTTTGTGGCCAGAGAAGAAGAAGAAGCAGAACCAGAAGTGAAGGAAAGTTCCGAAATTGAAAGCAATGAAGTTACTGAAGCAAATCAAATTACAAATGAGAAAGACAAAGAAGAAGATGAAGGAAATGGAGATGCCAATGCCAATCATCAAGATGAAACCTTTTCATGTGTTTCACTCCCTGAAGCTCATGCAGATCTCGATAAACCAGAAACCCAAGAAGAGGGTCATCTCCAAGGGGGAAAAGAGAAAAAAGAAAACAACGAAAGCTCTGAACTTTCTTCCACCCCTTCAACGTTCATAGCTTCAGAGCCACAAAACGACGACGTAGCAAAAGCAGAAGCAGAAGCTGCAGCAACAGCTGAAACTTCAGCAGAAGGGTCAAACGTTGAGGAAGAAGAGAAAGGGACTGAAGCTCAAGAGACAGATCCGACCCACGAAGGATCCGACCCGGATCCGCAGTCAAAGGAGCGAGAAAACGAGTCAAAGGAAGAGAGAGAAAGACAGAGGTTGCCGGAGTGCTTGTTGCTGATGATGTGCGAGCCGAAGCTGTCAATGGAGGTATCCAAGGAGACATGGGTATGCAGCACCGACTTCATACGGTGGTTGCCGGAGAGACCCGCCGGAAAAACAAACGTTGCCGGTGGTGCGAAAAGGGTCATCGCTGACTCCTCCTCCAAGTTGAAGCCGAAGCTTAAGCCATCGCTTCCGCCACACCAGCCTCTGATGCAGCCGCCGAGATCTTCGTGTTCGTTCCCGGCGGCGGGTGGTCCCGCCGGAATGTCGATGGCGACGATGATAGAGCAGAAGCTGGTGGGGTCCAAATCCAATAATGGGTACGAGCCGTTCCTCACGCGCTGCAAATCGGAGCCGATGAGGTCTTCGTCGAAGCTCGCCGCCGAGGCTTGTTTCTGGAACAACCGGAAGCTCGAGCCTCACCCTCCTCCGGCGCCGGCGCCTGCTGGGGTTGGATTTTGATTATTTTTTTATTTTTAATCTCAAATTTTCCTTTTTTTCTTTTTAATGACAGAATAATTAAGTGTTGTTATTATCTGTAGACTATTACTAAACCTTTGGGCAGCTTTGGTAAGTTAGATTAATTATATAGTGATTTTACTGTTTTTTAGAATGTAATCCTTTGTATAAATGGTTTTAGTGATGCAATTTGTTTCTTTCTTCTTCTTTTTTATTTTTTTTTCATGACTCATTCATAAATTTATTATGGTTTGAATATATGTATAAGATAATATGGAAGTACCTATTTATCAATGGCTAAAATATGAGCAAATATTTGCCATTTGGGTTAATTTGTAGGGGTTGGACATTCAATTATGTTTGTTGCTTTGAAGGGTAAGAAGATGAGGTTGAATGGACATTTGGTTAAGGTTGTTATGTGTCTGGTTGTCTGTTTCCCTTAATTAGGTTGGAATCTGTTATTGTCAATGGTTGTTCATCTTTTTATCTGAACTGCTTTGTGTTGCACCTCAGTTGTCATTTTCAAGTCTTAATTGTGCTGTTACTGATTGGTTAGAACTTAGAACTTGGAAGAGTGTGTGTTCAGTGGGGAACTGAAATGCAGGTTTGAAAACAGTCAAAGCACAATAGAATTTCAGTGTAAGGCTGATTGTTAGTATTTAATGGTTAAAAAGAAATTATGAACCCAAATGGTAAAGATTAAAGCTTAGGATAATGTTAAACTAATTATTTATTACAAAGAAATTTTCACCACAGATTAACAGTAATTATTGGAAGACATGCAATACAAGGTTTCTTTCTCCTTTCTTCTTTCAACCATGCCTAGAAATGAATCTTATTTAACTGGTTGGAAAAACCATTAATAGTAATCATATTTAGTTTTTGGGAATATTATTAATATATGCTAAAGGTAAACATTATTTATGGACTTTATAACATAGTATCACAGTCTATTTGATCTTTTTATAAAAGCAAGCATTTGGTTCATAAAACTACGTTAGGTGTTTGATTTCTGTGCTCATTATTTTCAAAGACTTTGAGATGAATTAGTAATAATAAACAACTTGACCTTGAAAGCAACCACGCTGTGGTTAAACTTTAAAGTTAGCATTTTGTTTTTCTTTAGAACTTTTTTTCAGTTTCCATTGCTTTTGTTTTCCCCATTCCTTTTGCCACGGATTTGCAGAATTTCAAAGCAAGTGTTTTTCCTCTATTCCCAAGGCAGCAAAACTATAGTAATAGCATGATTATCTATCTGTTCGAGCTTTTTCTCTCTTTCTTCGCAATAGGTAAAGACAAAGCCAAAGACAAGAAAGAAAACCACAGAAGCAAACAAATCATGTTTATTCATTTAATCGTTGGACTCAACAGTGTTTTGGGCAGCTTCTGCTTGACCTCACTATGTTTGAAGTTTGGGAGATGCTGCAGCCTCTTCTTTCAAGATTTACCTGCATTCCCTTCAATTTCAGTAAATTATTCAACTCTATAGCACCAAATGTAAATTAGCTAGGTACCTTTTTGTATTGCAACCTTCCTTTCTTTGAAAACAAACTCCTAAGTGTATGATTTTGTGTAAAACTAATTATCTTTAAAGTGTTTTGAAGAATGTTCAATTTTTTTAATTATTAAGATAGGATATTAGGTGGAAAACCAGTGTTGACACATTTGCTTCTTGGTTAAGCAGTTTCATAATCATACCAGCTTTATTATACTGTAAAAGGGTAGGACTGATTTGGAATCTTGACTTAAAAAAAGGACGAACAGAGAAAAACACCATGGAAGCTGGTAAGAAAAAGTGTTTTTGCTGCAAACTTTTTGAACAGATTGGAAATGGTGTGTAGGGAATAGGGAAAGACATTCTGGCACCCACCAAATTGATAGGTGGCACATGGATTGCAGAACCAATAATGAAGGGAAAGAGAGAGAGAGAGACTAAACATAGTATATTTGGGAAGAGGAGTATATTCTCAGTATCAAAATTTTCTACTACCAACTTACTATTTATATAATCACTATTAGATTAACATTTTCTCTCTCTTCAAAATTTTTTTAACATTCACTCTCTTTGATCCAATGGTAATGTGATGGGTAGTAAGCTAGTAGTAAAAAAATTTAGTAGTTAAAATATCTTCGCTCGTTTCGGAATATGCAAGTTTTTTATCTCCTTTACAATAGCTTCCAAATAGTTTAACCAAATAACATTGATCATAAAAATAAATTAAAATGCTTTCAGTTTCTTGTTTTGGCTGTGCAGTGTGAGATATTTATGTTCCTGTGGGTTGGATTACTAACATGCAGGCTGAGCTTTGTGCTCTGAGAACTGGCCTAACCCATACCATTGCATGAATAATTGTGCACAATTTTGTACATATGATCCTATGACATGTACACTCAAACATTACATTTGCTCACTTTTCATTCTGTGATTACAATAGATCCTAACTCATTTTCTACCACCTCTCATATGTTTGAGATAATATACACCCAGCATCTCCAGACATGAAGTCATTTGCACGATTGTGCACAATTATGAACGTTTCTAATACAAACATTTTAGTACGTATTTGAATTAGCTTATTTCAAAACTAACAAATCTTTTTTTTTTTCTAGAGAACTTAAAAAATAGTTATTTCTCTAAAATGATCGCTCACCAAACATGCTCTTAGTGATTCTAACTATGTGTACACAAAGCTGGTCTTAGTGGCCAAGTGAGTATATCAGATGAAATCGTGAGAACATAAGAGAAATTAATCTTAACTATCCGTGTATGGTTGTATAGAACAAATTAAACACAAGTTTTTGGTGAAGGCCACTTAAAGTGTGAATTCGGTAAGTGGAAATCTCAAACACTGACTTGTTTTAACTGCTACATTCAATAAATTGAGTCAACTCAACTGACATAATTTTGGCGTTCAGAAAGGGTAAAGGAGAAAACAGGAGAATATAGCTTCTATAAGCCTTTCAAAACATTCAACATTGAGACTAGTAAGTGCATTAAAGATCACTTGGCACCTACATTACTCCCAAAAAGTGAAAGATTATCAAGGACACTATATCACTTCTACAAGTGGATGAAATTTGCTGACCTATTCCTCCACCTTAACTTCACTATACTTCTTTAGTAAAAGGCGAAAGAAGAGTTCGTTTTGTGCTCACCACCACACAGCTCCGTAACTTCACTATACTTCCTCTAGTAACTATTGTGCATCATTTGAACTTTGTTCTTCCTTCGTGCTGCCCAATTCAGTGTTACTTGTGGGACTTTCAACTGATGAATTTGATAAACTTGACTGATCAGTAGTGCTTTTTCTCTCAGTTTCCTCTTCAGTTGAATCTCCCATAAAGGAGTCAATGGCAAGCTTGCCAGAATAAAGGAATAAGCCAAGGGAATTTAGGCCAAAAACAAATGTAGCAAGGTAGGTCAAGCCATTGATTATTGTCCTGTGAAAAATTGTCAGACGTTTGTTAGGTGCTTCAAATAAAGAACGGAAAGGCCCCAGATAGTTAAGAGATGGAAGCTACCTTATGGTGATTGTTATCTGGCGGACCTGAAAAGCATACCATTTCACTATCAGACTATCTTGTGCACACAAGAAAAATTAATGAATATCAATGCATTAAGAGCTTGAAGAATTGCTCTCTTATCTGCCAGCAATAGATGCATGCCAAGATATATAACCACCCTATGATGAGCACAACAACATACTTGCAAAAGCTGATAATTTCACTTAAAACAAGTCATGTAATTGTAAAAGTTTATTCTAACAGTTTCCCTGCTGGGTACTCCAGTGATGAGCATCAACGATTGAGTTTTCTACACAATCCAGGAATGCATTTAAATGAAAGAATAGTATCTTAGTTTTAGATGTTTTTTCCCATTTAATATCTTACTATGTGCTTATCGTGCAGTTAGGAAAATCAAAACGAACTGAATTAAAAGTCTGTATTTCACTATCAGGCTTTTCTCCTAACACAGTGTTGAGATGATAAAACAGAATTATCCAGTCCAAATATCATTAACTCACACATGAATAGCACAATCTCTGGTTTTAACCTGGGAATATTCGGATTGCCTGACTAATCTCAAATGGCTAAACTTCAGTACAATTGAATATTCTGACCATCGGAGTTAAGTATTCAATAGGCTCATCAATGATGCAGAATAACCATAAACTAATACATATCAACATTAAATAGCCATGTAAGAATAATAAATATTGGAAAATTTCAAACTGTGTCAGTCAAGCAACAATGACTTAATGTACATGTTTTTCAACCAAAAATACTATTGGGTAAAACATTAGCAATTCCGAGATAAACATTTCAATCAAATACATCCTGGCAAGAAATTTAATCTGTTCTTGATTGGTCAAAGAATCACATAACCAGATATGTTTGAAGACTTTTGCCTTGAAGGACACAACAACAATCAAAGTAGCTGCATATTCCTCAGGTAGTTAGATTCATGTTACTGAAGCTACTCTTTGTTTCTTAAATTGAAATGTTTACTTTTTCATCTTTTTGCAGCAAGTGTTTTGTCTCAATTTCAAAATAGTATCTCAAGAAGAATGATTAGCCACCAGAGGAACAAAAGTTCAGAATAATTAATTAAGCTTAGTATACTACCAAGAAAACTATCAATAAATGAAATACACTCCAATTATAGTTTTACCATCATTACAGTTAAGAAGAGTAAGTAACAATATTCCAATTCTTAGCTGTCTGACCTTTTTCTTCGGTTCAATCAATAAAAGAAAACAGCCTTATCTAATTCCAACTAACATGATGTGCAACAAAAGGGATAAACATAGATAAAAGTACATGAGATAAGACATACAGAGAAATTATCTGAAATTGTTTGTCGGTTTAGAGATGCCTCTATGGTAGTGGCAAACTTATAGAGAATAAGAGCAATAACTCCAGCTGATATTCCCCCAAGAAATGCTTGAACAGGTGATGGTTGACCCTTAGCCTCTATTTGAGCTGACCCTAAAGCTTTTAAGCTATCCAATGCTTCATCCTTTATTGACTTCTTCTCTCCTCCTGAAGACCTAAATTGCTAAAACCACAAAACCCATTTCAATGAAGACACAGAATGAATCATAATAGCACATATCAGTGATATCACTCTAAAACTTAACATGAACAACACAGCAACAAAAACAACCCAATAAATCCAAATTCATTTTTAAAACTAAAAAATCAAGCTTTGAACTCACCGAAACATTTTTGAAGAAAAGGGTAACTATGCAAATTATCCTAAGACAAATTGTGAAAATTTTATATAACCTTAAATAAAATCGTCTTTTTTTTCTCAACAAAAAATACACAGAAACTGTGAATGGCACATTATCCTAAGAAAAATTGAAAAAACTCAAGGGTTTCAGAACATGAATTGTGGCAATTATATTACATATGACAAAATAACCTTAAAAAAAAAAAAAAAAAAACATCATTTTCTCTTAATTAACATACACATAAACTTTGAATGAAGAAGAAATAAGAGAAATAGTATAAAACAAAAAAGAAGAGAAAAACAGTGTTTACCAATGCTTTGGCACGTTTAGCCCTGCGGCGGAGGGAGCGAAAGAGGAAGACAGAGATAGAACCTGTGAGGAGAACACTAGAAGCGACTTGGATTGGAGAAGGGTCATCGGTGGTAGCGAAAATGGAAGGAGTAGAATAAAATGGGAGTTCAATGGGACCCTCCTCTGTTGCAGTGGTGAGTTCAGCGAGGTGGGTCAGCCATGTCCATGATGAACTTGTTGGAGGAATGGCTGAAACTGAAACAGAGTGAAGAATAGTGGGTTTGTGGAGAAAATTAAGAAAAGGGGATATTGATGATGATGATGATGGTGGTGGTGAAGGAAGGGACAGAGAGGGTTTATAATGAGTGAATGTTAATGGGATAGGGAGGTTTGAGAAGAGAAGGTGTTGTTGGCACTGAGAGTGCAACATTGGATATATATGGTAATGGTTGTTGTAGTGTTCCAAGTGATGATAATGGTGTTTGTGTTGTGTAATGTGTTACCTACTTACTACTACAAAGGTATGGAATGGAAGAGTTTCTGTTCTGTAAATATCTTGTGGTCTTTTTTTGGCTTTTGGTGGGAATTGCAAATGCACCATATCCATTATGCATATTTTAATTTTCTTTTTTTGGTATATAATAAATAGAGGAATATCCTACATACCCAAAATTCTGAAAAAAAAAAAAACTCGAATTTAGTTATGAAATAAAATTATAAGTGTGATCTATAAATAATTGGAGAAAAAAAAACAAGAATGAGACCTACCTTTATTATGTGTCCGTGAAAATTTGGTTTATTTCGTATAAAATGAGAGAAGTATAACCCAAAAAAATTATGATGTCCAGTCTTTTTGAATTTTTCTTTCCACAAATTTTCATGTGTACAATAACTTGTTTCATACATATTTTTTTATACCGATAATAATTACCTTTTTCAGACAAGTCGGTCTTTCGGTATCCCCACATGCTTTAACTATTTGAGGAAACTAATTCTAAATCCTGACTTAATCACAATTAAAACTCTTCGTGAACCCATATTCTCTTCCTATCTAGTTAGCCGTATTAATAACTGAACAAAACCTATTGTGTTTGTTTCATATACATATTGGGTTTTATTAATATCATCTTAAAGGAGATAAGTTATGTCATGTCATAGAAATAAACTTGTGGGTTTCATCACCTGAAAAAGAAAAAGGTGACACAGTTATCGAAGGGTATATTCTCTTCCTATCTAGTTAGCCGTATTGATAACTGAACAAAACCTATTGCGTTTGTTTCATATACATATTGGGTTTTATTAATCTCATGTTAAAGGAGATTAGTTATCTCATGTCATAAAGATAAACTTGTGAGCTCCATCACCTGAAAAATAAAAAGAAAAGAAATAGGTGACACAGTTATCGAAGGGTATGTAAAAGAGAAATTTATCACATGTAACATAAGAGTAGTTTTTCCCATACATATTTTAGTAGTAAAACAAAAGCAGATTATAAATTGTTTGATTGGAGAGAGCTTAAAAAATGTTATTGTAATTATCTCTAATTTTATAAATAATAAGTTCTATTCCCACAAAGCAGAAAATGCCTACATCAGGATTGAATGACTTATTGCAAAAGAAATACCAAGAATTATTATGATTATTATTTATTATTATGGCTGTTTTTAGACAAATGTTACAAAGAATTAATCAGTAAAGTGTCATTATGATCCTTGTGTTCAACACTTGAGTGTAATCAAGGTCTGATAACCAATGGCATTTTTCAGCATTCCTGGTGGACATTTGATGCCACAGATCTAGCCCAAAACTTGATTTGCTTTTTCATGTCATCTGCAGAATTCTTAGAAGCCCAATTTGGAATAGGAGGAGGATCACAACTTTGCACTAGCCATGCCTCAGATAAGTAAGGTCCCCTTGCTGCCTTATCTTCTTCTGTCTCAGCTCTATTTTTCTCTTGCAAACCAGGAAGTATGTTAGCTATACTTGGGGATAAGGCTTCTTTCTCAAATGAGAAACCCAAATCCTTGAACCCCTGAACTTCTTCAAGTTCAAGATCACTTAGGCTTCTCCTCATTGTTTTCTGATTCAAGAACCTGCGCCTCACCTCCTCAATACCCTCTTTGTTGAAGCTTTCAACCTCAGTATTTCTAGCTGGTCGATATCTTGGAATGCTACAACTCTGTCATCCATAACCCCAAAACATAAATAACATTTAAGGAGTTAGCTTCAAAGCATTCAAATCAATCTGAATTTGGAAGTGTATATATATTATAGACTAACTTTCTAAAGGACAATTTGACTTATATTAAAAAGTAGCATTGTAGCAGCAAGCTATATATGCTGCTTGTCCCTTTTTAATGAGTATGATTTTACTTATGCCAAAAGCTAAACTTTTGGATCTTTTGGCAATACAGTAATTGGTGCCTTTTCTGGGTGTTGGCCACATTAACTCAACCATAAGCTCTTGGATGTGACAGAATCTTATGCATTTGAATCATAAATGAAAAAAAAAATGAGTCTATTACTTTGATCTTTATAAAATCAGATTATTACATTACCTTAGATGTTTGCCTTGGTGGCAGGATGTCAATATGGGTAGGAGTTGATGGTTGTTTGTGGGATCTTCCAGTTCTTGGATCAGTTACTTGGAACTCTTCCTCTCTCCCTATGGATGGAGGTAAAGATGGTGTTCTTAGCAGTTTGCTTTTCCTTCTATTACAGTCACTTCTATGATGTCCTTTCATCTGTGAACAATGAGGTTTACTAGCTTCCTGAAGCACAACAGCATCTGATGGTTGGTGCACCAATTTGCTTCTAGTAAAACTGCTTCCTGTTTTATCATCTTCTTGTCTCACTCTAAATGGTGGCATGGTTGGTGCTCGCTGAATCATCTTAGGATGAACAAAAGGTTTACTTCTTGATGAGTAGATGCTATATACATCAGAGTCCTTCCCCAAAAAATCTGGGCTAATTAGCCCTGTGGAAGGGCAAGGATCAGAATAACACCTTGGCATCCTTGGTCTTACATTTAACAAGTTATCAAAGAACCAGCACTCCTCAAGAAGATCCAAGGCTTCCACTTTTTCATCTTTGCAAAAAGAAGATTCACAAGAGTTATCAATTGGCTCCATAGGTTTCCACTTTCCAACTTTGTCACCCCTTCATGTGTTGTGAATTTATATTGAGTCCTTTTTGCATCTCTTATCATTTAACACTCTTTTAAGTTAACTGAATGTTGTACAATGAGGTCAAAATTTTGACCATAAAGAATGCTGAAGCTGAGCTTTCTAGATAAGCCATATGAGATATGACACCATGTGCTTTAAGATCTCCTTTTAATTTTTGTTTAGCCATAATGAGCTTACAGTCCAAAATCCAAGTGTTATTTTATATAGAAAATGGATTTCTTCAAGGCTTTTGATGAAGTGGAATAATCTAAGAGATTGATGAACACAGAAAACCCAAGTGGGGTTATGCGGCATTTAAGCTCCACAGCTAAAAATAATTGGCAGGGACTATTTCCTTGTCACTGGCTTTGTCATGCCAGCACATCCCCATGTGATGCTGTTTTTTTTTTTATGCAGCCACTCCACATCACAGAACAAGTTAAATTAATTATTATTTTGGTAGTTTGACTATTAGAATAAATGATTTGATATTATCTTAAAAGGCTTAATTATTATGTTATTTTCTTTAATTATTATTGAACGATTATAATAATGTTGGTAAATAAAAATATACTTCTGAGCTTCTAAAATACAATTCTCAGAGGTCTTTCTCTCTTTGTTGCTGCAATGTGACAGCTAAGGGTAAGGTAAACAGCAAAGATTTCATATATTTAATATGCAAATTGCAGAAGACCCTCGTTCCTTTCTTCAGGTATATGTGTTTGTATATGGAGTATTTATGACTTTTGCTTTGTTCCAACATCACAATTCATAACACCAAAGTTCTTAGCTGTCTACATATTATGAGCGTTAAAAAAAAACACAAAATAATGAAATTGAATTAAAACTAGTAATTTGGTTTAATATATTAGTCTTAACACAGATTGAAACTAATTCAAAGTATTGCTAAATACTTTTCACTTGATGAGTAGTTTTCGTACAAGGAAAGTTGATAATCATTAAAATATTCTTAAATCTAAAATTGAGGACAATTTATGCATCCCCATATATGCATTCATTATTTTCTTTCTATTAATATACTCTGTATTTTTAAAAAGCCTATATTTATGAAGGGTTTGGTGTTTGTCATTTTAAATGACATAAGTTATGTCATTTTAAGAGAGAGATAGCAACAAAGAATGAAAATCATGGGAGAGAAAGTGGGTGGTTTTCTTTTTAATTTAAATTTAAAAAAAAAAATTATGTCTATCTCTCTCTTAAAATTACATAACTTTATGTCATTTAAAATGACAAACACTTTCTTCATTTATGAAAGCATTTTGGATAATTAGTATTGTTGTTTTCATCAATTATGCTTTTCTACTTATAAAGAAGGGGAAAATGTGTGCCATATTAAAAGATATAAAGTTGTGTCATTTTAAGAGAGAGAAATAGATAGATAAAGGAGGAGAGAGAGTTGACAAAAAAATAAAGGTGTAGGTCCCACCTCTTTGTGAGAGTAAAAAGATATAAGTTGTGTCATTTAAAAGAATAAACACTTTTCCCTATAAAGAAATATCCATAGTGCAGTAATTTTTTATCTAACATTTGCTCCGCATCGTTTCAAAGTGCATAAAATCTTGAAGATGATGATTTTATTATGTCTCACTTTTTTACCAGTTTGTTATGAGTTGATTCGTGAGATCCACTTTTAACTTTGATTCACAAATTTCTTATACCTCCCTAAAGGGGTTGGACTCCGGAGAGATGTTGGAATGCGTCAATTTTACATAATTTAATTAATATTATTCTTTTATTTTCATGCATTCTAGTTAACTTTATGAAGATTTGATTAAAAAATTATAAATTATGCATACTGTTAAGATAAAAAGTACAATGCTGCCACTTTTTGTTGCATATAGAGATAACATTTTTCTTTCACTTATAGCATTTATTACCATTCACTTTCTTCATATTATTATAAGTAATATATTTATATTTTTTTAATATGTGAACAATATACCTGGTTGAACCAATAACTCAGTGAACCAGTATCTCGATCAAGTCGATGACCGTTCCGAATTTTAAAACACTGTTAAGAATTTTTAAATTAAACCCGGTGCTTAAAACAAGTATTTAGTTTGTTTTAAAGTGTCACCCTATTTTTATTTTTAAAATTTGACGAAGAAAATGATAAAATAACAAGATAATATTTTCGCCATTTATTTTATGAAATTTTAAAAACAAAATAAACAGCCTCTAAACAAACAGGAAATAAAGTGCCATTTTTTTCTTTTTTGTTATTGTTTCACATCATTTAAAAAAAATAGAATTAAAGCCATATAGTATTTTTATAATTATTAATTCAAAATATTAATAATGAAAAAAAAAATCAAACGCTTCTAAATTTTCAAAAATATAAAACTCATTACACCAAAAGATTTGTTAATTTTCCAGTCAATAATTTTCTTCTAGCTGGACAATGAACATAGAGGTGAACACTATGCACGTTCCAACCAGTCATTTGCAGCAAATCAGACTCATTTACATCTTAATTCCAGCAAATCTTTGCACTCGAAATTAAAGGCTTTCTATTTATACTAAATTTGACAAGTTTTAGTTTTACTTTACATTACACCACAACATGACACCCCCAACCCAGCCACTTGGACAATTCTAAACCACTCTAATATATCGAATTAGTGTTTGAAGTTAATTTTATCCCATATACACACATAATAGTGTGTAAGATTCATGTTTTCTTTTTTTCTCTCTTCTCCTTACATAACCTCATATAAATCCACACACTTTTTATGTATGAGTAGGAGATAAAATTATCTCCAATAATATAAGAAACATTATAAAAATTATCTCTTACGACATGAGAAATATTAATTCTTATTATATATCTTACCTTCTAACAAAGAACTACTTAAAGAAGCTTCAAACTACATTATCTCCGGCAAAAAACCAAAACTACAAGCGATAGACACATTGAATAAGTGGATTCATTATTTTTAGGGGATATAACTTCTCCTTTCATGGGAGAAGTTTCGAGCACGCAGCAGACACAAGAATTTGTGAGTCCCACAATTTTTATAAAAAATAAAAATAAATAACCCACACAAAACAATGGATCTATGGCATGAGAAGAGACTTTTGCAATAACAACAGAAGTCTTTTTCCCTTGTTTTTAATTGAAGATTTAAACATTTGATTCCACCAGGTCTACAAAGAACTTGTCGCATATATGTTAAAAACTAGCCATGCCTTGACCAAGACCACCAAGAAAATGGCTGAATTCAAGTTTATCATTGCTATGTATCAAAGCTTAATACAATCATTGTAAGCTTAATTAGCTTAACCATTGTTTAAATTTCATATTCACTATACTTAAGATCTGTTAGTGGTTAGTCGAATTGGTTAGTGTCTTGGTTCAATTATCACAATGTAAAGCTACTTGGTGTGTGAACAGTGTATCTAAATTTAACTCAAGCTTGAGTAGTTAACAAGTAACTTAACTCATTTACACCTTTATGTTAAGGGACACGGGTAACTTGTTTACCCGACCTATTGTCCCAAGTTCAGTGCGCATATCAGGGAGAAAAGTTGCACATGGATGCAGGTATGGAGGACCGCTTTTTATAGACATGGAAATGGGTCTATACATTGCATCCATTTACACAAGTACACATAGAAATATAAAAAATAACATTGATAAATTATAATTTCTTTTTCACTTTATATTATAAAAACCAGTTATTTGAGTTCAGGTACAGTTGACAAAAAGCATAGCCAAAAGGATTTTGAGACATACAGACATGTCTTACTGGTTTCGCAGATGGATTCTTTAGAGATGAGAGGTGAAGGATCTTACAAAATATAGAGAAGCTGTATCTTATCTCCAAGATAAATCAACAGCATAGACTCTAATAACACCTAATAGTTCACCAGAAACTTGGCTTAACATGCACAACATCCTTCAATGACATTTCCAACAAGAATTTCTGAAACGTTGGTAGTAAATAACTGCAGATCAAACCTAGAATTACCGAACATTGTACTTACCATTTTGCAATCATTTTTATCACACCATACAATAGAATTATTTTTCCATTATCCGTTCTGCCTAGAAAGTGAAAGACTAAACATGCATTCATTACAAATTTACATACATGTCAAGAAATAAACTTTAGGAAACCAAAAAATAATTTATTCGATCAAATTGTGTAAATTCTCAATTAAAAAAAAAAAAAAAAAAACTATTGTTAGGACAAGGAAAATAACAGATTTAACATCAATAATGTCTACCACAAACAAAATTCGAACTGCATTAGAGGGAGGGAAAAGTTAGAACGATTGATGCCAAAATACTCGTAACTGAAGTGTAACAATTTCTTAAACAGATAAAAAAACTAGAAAATTTTGAACAAGTCTTTGACAACAAACATTGTAGCCACTCAGGTACTATCAGTCACTACTCCAGTAATCAAAACATTTCAAGCAACAGGGACTTCAATATCATTTGCCACAACAGGAGCAGGCCGGATGTATTCTTCCTCCTCCTTTGGAGTATGGATTGTGACAATATCAGGTAGGGGAGTTTTGGGACCCTGTTTCCCTTTAGGATCCCAATCAAGCATGATCTTGACCTTGATACCGAGAACACCCTAAAAGACAGGAGAAAATGATTAGCTTCATCAACCCACAACAAACAAAAATGAATCAAGAACTTAAAAATCCAAGTGCCAAAACAAATTATATCAGTTATCTATGGAGAATAGAAACAAACCTGTCTAAGGAGCACATGTCTCACTGCAGAGTCAATGTAATCCTTGACCGGTTGACCAGAAGAAATCATGTAACCATCCTTGAATTTCATAGATTTGGCTCTCTGAGCTCTCAATTTTCCACTAACAATGACCTGCTCAGATCAAACAGCAATTACAACCAAATCATTACATAAAGCAATTAAAAAACAGGAGTTCAAAGCTGCTTCTGTAGAACAAACCTCGCATCCCTTGGCACCACTTTCCATAACAAATCTCAAAACACCATAGCAGGCCCTGAAACAAATATTTTAAGTTTATAATGTTACCACAAACACAGAAGAGTTTTGACAAAATATGGAAATATTTCGTTACAGAAAGACACGAGGAACTAGTACATACATAAATCAACTCAAGGCAGACCTCGATTAAACAACACGGGCAGATTATTTATACCATCCTACATGAATATACTTAAAACTGAAAAAACCTTGGTATGCTACAATTTGCCAACAAACAATACAGGGTATGAAATATAACATGTATCCCCCAATGTTATACTGCATGAATACAACAGAATTTCATGAGTTTTAATGAAATAGAGGACATGAAATAATTTCGTCATCTTCCGACACAAACTTGGTACAGAACACCAATCTGCTTTATAGATGACTAACGAGATATATTCTCCAAGGAAAACAAATTCACATGGCCGTAAAATATGACCATCCATAAAATACAACCGGTCAGTCCTTCACGTCCAAAAACCATAAATAGAATAATTGAAACCTTCTACACCTCAACTTTGAGAAGGAATTCCAAACTCATCACATTCCTTGATAGAAAATAGTCAACTGAATGCAACATGTTATTACACTCGATACATCAAACAAAATCAAGAATACCATGGAGAAGCCATCAGCACATTGACCCTCCAAGCACACACACATTTGAATAATAACAAAACGAAACAATCCAAAATTATTACACTAAATGTAAGCAATATATGATTCATTTTGCACATCTAAATTACTAATTTAAAGCATATATACCTCCGGACAGCAAGTCCACCAAGTAGCTTGTAACGGAGAGACTCTGCCTGAGCAATAGCACAAAGACCCCTGTTGTTAACCTTCTCAGCATATAACTCCACACTATTCTCTGGAAACTTGAACCTCTTCTGTACCACTGAGGTAAGCTCCCTAATTCTTCTTCCCTTCTCACCTATATTCCACAAACACCAAAACAAAAAGCAAAACAAAACAAAAACAAATCAAACCCTTGTATATCAACAACATTAGATTCCCCTAAAATAATGAAAAATTAAAACTTTGAAGAATGAATGTAAGCAAGCACAAACCAAGAACAGCCTGGGTTCGAGTGGCTCTGATGATGATCTCAGTGCGCATAGGGGTAACCCTAACTTCAACACCCGAGTATCCATCCTCAGCAAGCTCTCTGGTCAGAACCTCGTTCAGCTCAGCAAAGAAAACTCCATCAGCTACAAACTACATATATAGACAAGTCCCAGGTTCAGAAACCTTAACAACATAAATACATTAAACAAAAAAAAAATTAACAAAAAGAAATGAAGGTTGTGTTCCATTCCTAGGTCACACTGACCTTTCTCTTCTTACTCATTTGGGTCGCCATTGTCGCGAATCAGAGGCTAGGTAAGATGTGGAAAATTCTAAACACACAAAGTGAAATTTCATTAAACTTAAAAACTAAAAAGTAAGATGAATTTAATTATTTGCTTTTAAACAATCAAAATTATTTCTAATCAGAATAAAAATTAAAAAAATAACCTTGGACCTCCCATCAAACACAAAGAAATTTAATGAAATTAAAAAAAAAAAAAGCTATGAAGAAGATTAAAGTGTAATTTCCTTCATCAAAACCACAGATTTGATGAACATGAAACATAATGAAAAGAACAAGAACATAAGGATAAGGTTGTTCCGTTACCTGTTTTGGTTTAAGGAGGTAACGATGCAAACTGCGGCTATGGACTCTGCTCAATGAAGAATGAGGCGCGTGTTTACATAAGCTAGGGAAGTGAGTAGTTCATATTAGTCGAAACCTAAGAGGGTAGAATAGTCTTTTGGATCTAATGAATTTCAGGTGGGCCTTTATGAAATTGGGTTGGGCTATTGATAGAGATTGGATCTGTCTCCCATTTTTTTTTTTTTTAAGTTAGAATATTTTTTAAATTTTTAAGATATATAAGTTTTTATAATTACTAATAAAAATTTGTTAATTTTCGAGTCAATAATTTTCATATTGTACTTATTGAATCTAGTAATTAGTACATATTCATAATTTGTAATAGAACTTATCATTAAATAAGATAAAATGTGCATAACATTTATTCTATTGTTTTTTCTTATTTCTTAAGAGAAATAATTTTCTACTGGCATTCCTGGTCGATGTGTTTAAAATAATTTGTGGGAAAAAAATATTTTGGTATCACAATATATTCATGTTCCGAATGATACAGAATATTATATATTTAATAATAGTGTACATTTAATTCCGATTACATACGATTATGTATTTAATAAATAATGTATTAGAAAAATATTGTTTTTTATTTCTATCAATATATATTATTGGTTCATTCGGAAAAAAACCCCAATTTTAGCGAACACTGTTTCTAATATTTTTATAAGGAAAAAATATTTATCCTTTTAAAGGATATAACTTTATGTTATTTTAAATCATAACCATTAATTTTCGCCAATCAACGGTTCGAATTTATTGGGTTAAACTTCTTAATTAATTAGTAATTCGTAATAAAATTCAATAAATCCTAACTGTTGATTAAAGGAAATCAACGGTTAGAATATAAGATGACACAAAGTTATATCATTTAAAAGGAGAAACGTTTTCCCCTTTTTATAAATAAAGGATTCTTCTTTGTACATTTGAAAGAATATGCATCATGAAATAAAACGGTAAAATGTGGAAGAGTGATAGTAAATGATAATTTAAATATCTATAAGTGGAGTTTTGGGCAAGGCTCAAGCCTAGATAAGTGATAAAAATAATTTTATTTTATTTTTTTGGAAGAGATAAACATAAATTTTAGTTATAAATGTTATAAATGTCCTATGTAAACTTCATGCATTAAGATTTCACTGGATAAATCACTGAAATCTTCTGCCAGATAACATTTTCTAACTGCTGAAATAATAATGTATGCAACAGCATCATGGACATCTTCCACTAGCGAACAAGCACTTTCTGTGTCAAATGATAGATGCTGTAGAGACATCCAGGGCAACATTGATACAAGCAAATATTCCTAGATTCAGCAGCACCACTATCCTTGCTTGAAGAGACATTGATATCTATAACATTCTCATGTTTACCAGTTTTAACATCACTTAATTTAACACCAGTCTCTACTGAGGACACGCTAAGAGGCTGATTAGACACTGTGCTGAAGTTACCAATCTCAACACTCTCACGTTCCCAGGAAGTGTGAAGTCCATTTTCAGAAAAGACCAGAGAGTGTGTGCATATGGATTTATTCAAGTCTTTCGACATCCCAAATTCTCCAATCACCACTTCATAATTTCCAACAGTTACTGATTCAGATAGTCTCAATAATGTCCTATTCTCATGATCTAAGGATGGACAAACAGGTTGGTTTGCAGCAGCAGCAAAGTTGTTAGTATGCTTATCTGAAAATATAAATGAGTTAAAGACTTCTCATATTATATGAGAAGAATTTCTTCTCCTACACACACATCTGGGTCCCACTAAATTTTTTTTCTCTTTCTTCTTTTCAATGGGACCCACATATTTGTTGTATGTATAGGATAAGATATTCTTCTCATGTAACATGAAAAATCTTTAACCCAATGTAAATATGTATTTAAAATGTGTACATACATACGTGATTTATAAAAACTAAACATGAAACTTCATGTGCAATGCTTGTTTTAGAACATATTAAATGCACAAACTATGCTGTTTTAGAGAATTTTACTGTGATATGGTGCTCCGTGTCATGGCATGCCAAGGGCAGAGGTTGATTGTTGGAGTGGAAACTAGTGGTCATACCCGTGAAAGCATGAGGTAGCTGCGATCAAATAATCTCTAATTCCATATTCTATTTTGCAACAAACTCTTCTATTCTAAAATTCTAATTAGTAACCAGATAAGTATATAATAGGAAGTGGGAACACAATAATAATAATAGATAAAAGATAACAGGCAAAGCATGGGGCACCAGGCTATAAGATTGAGCAATGAGATAAAATTATGGAATACAAAGCCATCATAGAAACTTCACTAATGTATGCAAATGTTGCAAATTTACAAGTTGAAACCACTTCAATTAACCAGTCTGGCATGTCTAGCAGTCTAGGATATTACAATTTCACTGAAAAGAAACGTACACAGCCCAAAAATATTAACACTAATGATGGACCAACACAAGTACATCAAGTGGATAACTATCAGAATTTACAGAAGAAATCCTATCAGCAGTTGGTTCTATTAATCACTCATCTTCATTAAGCATGGTAAAATCTTCTACGTCGGTTTCTTTGTTCATTTTGCGCATTTCATCAATCTCAACCAGTAACAACGGATCATGCACCAGCTTATCCGCATGCAATATCTTTGGGCAACCTGATACACAAAGATTTGGTTAAAAAGAAACGCTGTGGGGGCATAGGATTAATGTGAAGGTTATCAGACAACAATGATCTACCTGATATTGGGCATTGCTGTTGCTTTGACTTTATATATCGCATTATTACTTTCTTTTCATAAATGTGTCTACATTCCATACTGCACCAATGAAAGAGAAACATGAGTAACATACAAAATAATCTATCAATATCTTAATCCATTCACAAGAACTTCCATGCATAGAACATGCATTTCAGTGTAAATACATAAACTTCCACCAATCTTTTATCTCATACTAATATAAAAGGAAGTTAAACACCATTGATACTAACAATTACTCCTGTCTCCTCAGTGGCAGTTAACATGGCAATGCAACTCTATCCCTCACCATGAAGGTTCCATCTTCAAGCAATGTCTCTAAAGGAAACAACTCAACGGCCATAACTTACATTTAACTTTGTGTGCATAATGACTCTTGATCTTTGTAACCACTCATACACATCTGTAAAAATAAATCTTCGCAGATTCCATACATATCTAATCTATATGATATGACAGCCCCCCACGTCAAGGGTGTATCTAGGGGTCTAAACAAGTAGAGCATTTGATGCTCAAGTTTGGCTTATGAAAAAAGATGATACTCAAGCTTGACTCATTTATTTAAACGGGACAAATTTAAATATTGGATTCGATTTGTTCAAAAAATTTAGCTTGGCTTGTTTAGCTTGCTTATAACTTTTAGATTTTTTTTTTTTTCCTTTTATCAAATCTCTCCTTGAAGTATTTTATGATTTTATAAATTTAGTATTTGGTAGACATCTTTATGCTAGAAGATGACGCAAAAATAGGAACAGAATATGAAACTCTTTGAAAATTTAGTTGGAAAAGTAGTAGATTGTAAAATAAAATTAGATTTCTCTAGATAGAACTACAATTTACTAAGTAATAGTGATAAATAAATTATTATTATTATAGAATACACACACACACACACGAGCTATTCGCAAGCTTTTGTTGAGCATATAAGGCTTGAGTTTAACTTATTTATATAATCGAGCTTAATTGAGCATTGAACAAGTTAAGCTTGAACAGTTAAAAAGTAACTTCATTTACTGTGAACAGATAAGGGTCACCTGTTTACCCGATCTATTGTCCGAAGTTCAGTGCAGGTATCGGTGAGAAAAGTTGCACATGGATGCAGGTAAGGAGGAACACTTTTTATTCAGACATTGGTATGGATATATATATATTGCATCCTTTTACACAAATACACATACGAATATAAAAATAACAATGATGAACTATTTTTTTTCTTTGTATAATATTAAAATCAATTATTTGGGTTCAGGTACAGCTGAGAAAAGGCACAGCCAAATGGACATAGAGACAGAAACAAACAGATAGAACATATATTTCTTATTGGGTTCGCGTATGGATCCTTCATCCTTCACCCCAAAGCCAACCCATTTATATCCCTACTATGGGAGAGGGGAGGTAAAGGATCTTAAAAAAATATAGACAAGCTGTATCTTATCTCCTAGATATATCAGCAGCATAGACTCTAATAACACACCATAGTCCGCCAAAAAGCATTTTCTGAAAAATTTGTGCTAAATCAACTGCAGATTAAGCCTAGAATTACCGAACACTATACTTGCCATTTTGCAATCAATTTTCTCACACCATAAACTAGGATTGTTTTTCCATTTATCCATGCACCAAATGAAAAAACATGCATATATTGCAAATTTACATATATGTCAATAAATAAACTTCGTGGAGGAAAAATAATTTATTCAATCAAATTATGTAAATTTTCAAGGAAAAAACCAAACAACACAAAACAAAAAAATGTAACTACAACTATTAATATAGAAAGAATATATTATTCACAGAAATAACAATATTTGCAATGATTCATATGGTACCTGCGAACTGGTTCCTCAAGCTCGGTAACAGGCTTTCCAGTCAATGGACAATTATTATTCAAAATATTAGATTGGGTACTGGTCATTACAATTTCCTCCTGCTCTTCACCGGGCATTGGCTGTCCCCCATGATGAACATTCTAAAGACAGAGACAAACAACAAGCACATTATATTGTTACAGGAATTCAGTTTACAACATTCTTACAGAAGGAACTTAAAAAAGCATCAGTACTCAGTAGTAAGATACTATTGCATATGTTACATTAACAATTTTTCTTTCAAACAGGATCATGGAAATAGAATATTACAAAGTGACATCCATATTAGAATGTGAAAAGTGCAAACCAGAGTTTAATTCATCTCTCTCTCTCTTTCTCTCTCTCTCTCTCTCAGTACATATGTGCACATGCATGTGTGTCAGGGAAAGAAACTATGAGATCATATACTCATGAGAAAGTTGACAGCGAATATTCATTGCAAATAACGGATTCTGCAAGTTGCCTTATTGGGAAACATAAATCTTATATAAACATATCCAATGGTGGGAAGGCATCCTTCTATTGAATGGGATCCCAGTCTTGTAAGAAAATGATGAGAACTTATGTCATTGCAAGAACATGTTCTAACCAGAGACAACAGTTACATCTCCACCTTCGCCAGAATTTAAAATCACTGCTAGCAGTAAAGAGAACACTCCAGATAAGTGGTAGGCTTCCCAATCTTTAAAGTCAATCACCATTACTCATTGTATGAACAAGATATATGTAAGGAAATGATAGTACACTATTTTTAAACTAAGAAATTAGGGAAGAGACCACTGTAATCCCGGCCAAAAGATAAACTTGATCGATATCTTCATCGACATAGTAACAGCAAGGAAAAGGGTGGGGGGAATCTTTCAACAATTAAGAGTGACAAGAAACATACCCACACAGCTTCCTTAAATTGGCGTATTAAGGGATGTCTAGTAAGATCAGAAGTTTGATTGGCTTTAAACTGGGAAACTTCATCCTCAAACAATTTATGAAAATTTGTCAACTGCATTTGGAACATCAACAAGCAAGTTAGTTTTTGGAGAAAAGGGAGGGTTAAATGATAAATGATAACATATAAAAGTTTATAAGACCAACAAAAGCTGTTAATATGCAATGCACATTGCAAAACCTCTTCTGCAGGCTGGTATCTGTGGGCAACAGCTTGAACTGCTGATGAAAAATGCACACTGCGTTCAGATAGTTCCACTAACTCAACAACCGCATCTTCCAGCTCCTTCACCTGAAACAGTTTTCACTCGCCATATGATCAATATTGCAAAAATTAAAAATAAGCTTGGACTTCCCATTCAAACACAAATAAATTCAACAATATCTAATTAAAAAGAAAAAAGAAAAAACCTTATCAGAAAGGTTGTCCTTTTCAAATTCAACTGCAATTTCTTTCATCAAACCCACAGTTTTACGGACATCCTAAAGCAAAACCAGAAAAATGCAACCCAGTCAGTCATAAACGATAATGGGTACCCTAAAAAATGTTCCTTTTGGAGGAAACATGGAAGAAAGCAGTTGAGTGAATAAAGGGGTACCCTAAAAATGCATTGAAGAAAAAGGGGTTGAAAATTACAGCAATGAGAGGCTGAGAATCGGAGCAGAAGGTTGAAGCTGCGTTTTTTATTCGTGCGGCGCCGCCGCCATGGCCATGTGAAGTTGAAGCCATGCTGCTTCTCCGATTGAACCAAGTTCCAACCAAGGAGAATTTTGGAGGGAGCCACCAATATTATTGAATTTCTCTTCTTCTTTTTTCATTTACTTAAATATTATTTTAATTATATTTTTTGTTTTAAATAATAAAATTAAGTATTTTAACATAAATTAACAGAAAAATATTTCTGGAGTTAATACAGATAAGTTATCTGCATTTACTTCCAAAACAACGTCGTTTTGGGATTAGAAGATTAAAAATTTATAATTATAAAGACTATAATAACTCTGAAATAAATTAAAATTATAAAAATACCATGATTTCTGTCCCAAAACGATGTCGTATTAGGCTTACTGCAGATAACTTATGTGCAGTAACTAACTGCAGAAAAAGGGAACCCATAAATTAATGGGAGAGATAGTTATATTTATAACATATTTTTTCTTAATACCTTTCATAATTATTTTTATAGTTGTTGGATTAAAATCAAATCAACGATTTGTTAATTTGATTTTGATTCAACAACTATAAAAATGATTATATCAAGTTGTGAGAGAAAATATGTCATAAATATAATCTCCTTCTAAATTAATTAAATAAGTTAAATGAATTAACATTTTTAATAAATAACTCATAATCTATATAGGCTAACAATTTATTTCCAAGGGGTGTTTGGTAGGAGATTTGTTTTATGATGACCGACAAAGTTGAGATGGGTTTTTTAGTTGACCATATATGGTAGGAGGTTTTAAAAAATTTGTCTATCATTTTGATTTGCATAGTAATCTCTGTTTGTGTGTAAAATTAAAAAAATTTGCCATTTCAGAATACCACTTGGTTATTGAACCAAAAAGTAAGAAAAAAAGCAATGGACACAAATATCTCTTCTCAAAAAAGGAACCGAACCGGTTATGCATGTAGAGATGCAAGATACTAAATATATAAATAGTATTTTGTTAAGCAAGGGCATGTGTCAAAGAAATAAAAATAGTATCTTTTACAATGAAAAGTAAAAGTTTTAAAAATTTTATTATAGAATATTAATTTTTATTATATTAAATATTCTTTTTTTATTTAATATTTTTTAATTTTTATTCTTTAGCAAATGACTCAAGGCACTTTTTAGCAAAACTCTATAAATAAGGGTAATTTTTCAATTTGGTCATCTAAACATTAAATTATGTCATAATAGTCCTTGAAAATTTGCGTCACTAAATTAGTCTGTCAAAGATAAAACATTATGATACTAGTCTTCTAAAATTCTTTTATTGAATTAATCTTTCCAAGATACAAAATTGTCACCAAATTTGTTTATATGAAAGACTAAAATATTAATATAAAATTAAGCACTAATTTGATAATAATTATGTATCTTTGAGAAAATAATTTGATGAAAAATATATTCAAATATAGTGATATTTTACAATTTTGAAGAAACTAATTTAATGACAAGATTTTAAAAGGCTAATAAAGTGACATCTTAATCTTTTGAAAATTAAAATTGAAGATTTATTTTATTTGTTCTCTTCTATGTGAAGGATAAAATCAAGTATGTAGAGAGCTCCTTGGACCCCTGGTCTACCTGAAAGGATAGCAGCATGAGTTGCGAAACAAATGCAAAAACGTATATATGTGAATTGTGAACGTATCATCGAAGGTTACTAATAAATTTGCGATAGTTTATGAAAGAGATGTCGTAAGAAAAATATTATATCAAAAGTTATTATTTATGGGTGATATGAAAAGTATTTGCCGGAATAACATATTTATTTTGTAATGCGTAATGGATATTGGCCTAATCCAATCTGAAACACTTTTCAATCCAAACACATTACAAACAGTTAGAGTTAATCAACCCCAAAAACAAATGTCAATTTGCAATGACAAAGAAGGGGGAGAGTAATTATGAAGGATGACATAGTTGGTAAACAGATTATGTTCAAAGAATGGATTGTTGTGGTTGAAAGGTTGTTGGTTTGATTTCTAGGCAAAATATTTTAGACTCAGTGGTAAAATCCTTCATGCTCTATGTTATGAAAAAAAAATAAAAAAAAAAAGATATATACAAAAAATAAAAAAAAGGAAAAAAAAAAGATATATACAAAAAAAAAAAAAAAAAGAGGAGTAGAAGTGAATTCGTGGGGATGCAAACAAGTGTGGCACCTAACGTATTATGGGAATTTGACTTCTAAATGTGCAAGCATGGAAGTCATGTCGTCGAAAGTTATGGATTATTACTATTTCCAGTGCTTACTTAACAACAATAAAAAATATAAGTGTACTAATTAATTTTGAATTAATATTTGATACTTTCTTAAGATAAAGATCTTACACCATTATCATCTTTAAATAACCATTTTATGCAGAAAAATTATCTCCAGTGAGCTCAAAACGACGTCGTTTGATATTATAAGATTAAAAAATTATAATGATAAAGACTAATATGACCCTGTAATATATTAGAATTACAAAAATACCTTGATTTATGTCTCAAAACGACGTCGTTTTAGGAGATAACTTGTATCCATTGACTGGAGAAATCTTTTACCCTTATTTTTAATACATTATTATAAAATAAAATGTTTTTAAAAGTTGTGAATCTCTTAATAGTATGAAATAATGTCAAATTCATTAAATAATATGACAATATACTATTACATACAAATATAAAACTTTTTTTACATTAATAAAACGTTAAAATTAAATTTCCTTCTAAATTCTCTTGTTAAAGTTTCCACGAATTACATTTAAATGATCAACTTTTTTACTTGATTAAACTTTATTAATCTGGTTTTCTAGAGTCTGGATTTTTGGCACCTATACCATAACTAAATCAACATGAAAGTGCCCTTCCTTCCACTGTAAAAAGTGGGTTTAATCCTAATTGTTTCAAAATTAACAGATTTGACTTCCATCAATGACATATATATAAACATAATATTTTTTTGGCAGAAGTCATGGCCTCCTTAGGAAAATTAAAGCTTTGTGTATATAGTAGAAAATGGATAGTATAACATGACTATTAGTTAAACATTGAGAAGACTAACCAAAAGTGGGGAAGCACAATGTAAATTAATATGAGACAACTAATTGAAAAAACACGAGTTAGGGATTAGCCAATATGGAACTTGGAGGGTCAACTATTAATTAGTTAATTAAGTAATTTGATTAATCACTTGTGATTATTTATTTTCACATTAACCTAATTTGTCGGCACAGCTTGCAGTTCGAAATCCACTTCCATATATGTGGAGATAGACCACATCTTTTGATAGCTGGAAATTTCCAAGTTCCAACAATTATTAAGGAGATTATTACCATATTTATATAGGGAAATATTTTGTTTACAAATTTTTTATTTACAAATTCAATTATGTATTTCGAGAAATACAAACACTTAAGTGCGTATTTTCTAGAATATATAGTTGAATTTATAAATAAAAAATTAGTAAATATAACTCTCTTTATATTTATATATATATATATATATTATTAGAAATTAATATTAATTAATAAATTTGATTCCCAATAAATGATAATCGTTGATTGACGAAAATTAAAGGTTAGGATTTGGTGTCAAATTTTAAATTTGACAACAGTATCAAATGATCCTATCCCATATATATTCACACTTTTTATAACTATTTTCCTTAATTATCTTAAATTAAATTTTTTATTTATAATTTTTATATTATTATATATTTATGCTTCTAAATTAGTTCCAATTTCTTTTCTATCTTATTTTATTTTTTAAAATAAGACATGGCAACATTTATTTAAATATTATGTATATAATTATATCATATGTCATACTATATCACAAATATATTTTACTCATAAATCGTATTTTAATTAGTATGTAACTGAGTTATTTCAAATAATATTAAACAATAATTTTGGTAAAGAAAATATTACGTATCTTTTTAAATATAATCCACGTTTCAAATAATGATAAAATTATTTATAATAAATTGATATTGAAATTAAGTATTAATAATTTTTATCAACGAACATGTTTATAAGTTTAAGTATAAAATATAACTTTATAATTTTTTTTTCAAAATGTGATGTATAACCATTTAAAACAGAATATATATATATATATATATATATATATATATATATATATATATATATATATATATATATCTGTTAAAAAATTAAGGCTATAAGAAAAATCAAATATATATAAACCATTATTTAACATACAATTTTCAAGAAAAATATAACTAAGACCTTTTTATACAATAACAAAATATAATAAAGATCATATCATATTATCTTGTAGAGGTAGTATTTTATCAATATACTATACTGGACATACTTAAAATTAAATTAAGAATAGATGTACTCTTATTTATGCACCTTATTATAATATATCATGTCATGAGAACTGTGGAGCACACATATCTTATTTCTTTATAAATATACACACTACCATACAAAGATTATTCAAATTCAGATCAACATTAGCTACAAAATATGATGAGTTCCTTCAACACCCTCTTCCTCCTCCTCCTAGCTATCTTTATCTTCTGCTTTGGCATGATAAAATCAGATGAGAATCTGATCAACACCTTATGTGCCAAAACAGAAAAGCCAGATAATTGCAAAGGGTGTTTGGAAGCAGAACCTAAGAGCAACTCAGCTGATAGTCAAGGACTTGCCCTCATAGCAGTGAAGTGTGCAGAGAAGGACACAACCTATTTGCATGAGGACTCACTCAAGCTTATTCCCAATAGTACTACCAACTTGTTGACAAGCGTTCTAAAAGGTTGTGCAGCATATTCATCCAAGGCACAACAAATGTTTTTGCCTGTTGCACACTATGTTCAAGAAAGGAATTATAGTGCTGCTCTTGATGTCATGACAGAAGATATAATACCTCTTGTAAATTACTGTTTAGAACTCATCAATCATGCTCCTGATATGGTTGTGCCACCGCTGGTCTTGGGTGGGGTTGTGGTTACAAACCAAAGTTGTACAAATGCTGCTGGAATCTTAAGTAATCTTTGAGTGTTTGTGTTAATGAATAATATAAAATAATGTATGTTTTTTTTTTTTTTTTTTGTAACTAATGCATGTGTTTTTACCGAATAATTTATGCTTTTTGATTGAATTGATTATTTACGGTTTATAATTTTATTAATAGAATATTCAATATATTTGTATCATTTAAAATGATAAATGTTTTTCTAAAAAAAAAGAGAAAAATATTTGTCACTCTAAAGAATACAAATTCATGTTATTTTAAGTGAAACAGTTGTTTTTTAATATAGGGTTCGTTTTTTCTGCAGTTACTGCAGATAAGTTATCTGGAATAAGTCCAATACGACGTCGTTTTGGGACGGAAATTATGTTATTTTTGTAATTTTAATTTATCTCAGGGTTATTATAGTCTTTATAATTATAATTTTTTAATATTTCAATCTCAAAATAATATCGTTTTAAAAGTGAATGCAGATAACTTATCTGCAGTAACTGCAGAAATATTTTTCTGTTTAATATATATTTGTTGGTTTTTTATATTTTCTCTCCTTCACAAAATTAGAAGAAGAGAAAAGGAGAAAATATTGTGGAGAAGAAAGAATGTAAAAAACCAAAAAAATTTACACCAAAATATGGTCAAATAACACAAAATTATATTTTATAAAATGACAAATATTCTTTTCTACTATACTTTTCTTAATTTCATTTCCTTTTTTTTTTTTTGAAACCTTCTTAATTTCATTTCTTATTTAAGCTATTGACATGCCCGTTTGTGAATTTAAAGTTGTACTTATAAGATGTTTACAATTCGAGTTTGCTTGATTTTAAAAATATAAATACTTTGAATTAAAGTAATTAATTTTTATATAAAAAATTAATCATGTATTTTTAATTCAAAACTCAATTAATTTGAACTCTTCTTAATTAATGATTTGATTCTATTATATTCAATCAGTTTATAATTAATTCTGTTTATGATAAATATAAATTTAATTTCACTGTTTTTGTTTTTTATGATGTAATCAACAACAAATTTATCGTAAAACTTCAATAAAGACATGATTAATATATATAATTGAATTAACCCGAGTTTTTTTTTTATATAAAACTACATCAAATTTACTTATCCATAAATATTAAATTATGAAAAATGTATAACTAATTATACATGTCCACTTTATTTTTATTTGGTTTCCAAAATGAAAAGAAAAATTAAGCCAAACAAATTAATTTTACAAAAGTAAAATCAAACAAAAATAAATTTATTCAACCCTTTATGGCTTTTAATTTAATTTTTTTTAATTTAATTTTTTTTAATTTAAATCAGTTTGGTTCATATATATTATTGAAAACGTAAATAAAGACAAAACTGGTTCATATATATTATTGAAAACGTAAATAAAGACAAAACTTATGCTCTCTATTCAACCACTTTTTCGTTTTTTATTCATCACGCTCTTCCAGCAACAGAAATATTTATAGGGAAAAGAATCAAAATCAGGAGTGAAAAGATAATTCAAGAAAAAACATATGATTGTCACAGCTTCCGAGAATTTGACATTGTCATGTAAATAATTCAAAACCCATAGATAGACTCATGAAGAAGAAAGTTGCTATTGGTGATGCGTTTAATAGACACAAGAACGCTCCTCCTCATCAAATAATAGCTATGGCTAGAAAACTGAAGTGATAGCATATATTTAATCCTATGATGATGTCACATAACAAGTCAAACCAAGATCTATTCACTTGCGTGAAATCATACTCTCCAATTTAAAGACTCCTACTACCATGATAGGTTCATGTTCATTTTTAGGTACACCAACGTATGATCCAAACCCAAATAAAAATAAGCATACCTCTTTAACTAATAGTTCAAGGGATTTGCATTTGTCATTAAACACGACACAATAAATTTTCCTACAAACACAACATTTTGTGGGACCCACACTTTTTGAAGAAAAAAAAAATTACGGCACGCAAAACGAATCTCTATAATATTACACAATCATTTTTCCTACAACATAACTCTTATAAAACCCATAATTCAACCCATAAAATTTAAAACAAAAGATAATTAGTATAAAATATACACTCCCATGGATCTACAATGTGCAACTGCATCACAACTTCCTTGACGTAGGGTGCTTCCTATGAAACTTCCAGCTGAGAGAGTAGATTCATGGTAGAATGTGGTGGTGGTGGTGGCACTTCCACAGAATTACTCTCTTAGCTGCTGCTTTGAAAAGAAAGATCACTTAAATTTATCTGATAAGATGAACCCTCACTGCTGCTGTCTGACTCCATATAGCTCCGTGCACACCTGTGATTGTGTCGGAGAAGAGCGACAAATATATAGAGTCCTTGCCATCATCTCATTGTGGTAAGGTAAGGACTGCCATCCAATTGAACAGTTGACTCTTCCATGCATTATTGTTAAAATGTAGTGTCGAAATGTAAAAACGTCTATTTCTACATTTTTTTACCACAAAATGTGTCGAAAAAATGGTAGAAATGGGATTTGGGTAGAAACGGTTAAAACGCCAAGTTGACTCAATAAACTCGATTGACTAGACGAGTTTACGAGTTGATTCAGTATGAAAAAAAAAAAAGAAAATAAACGGAGAGCATTTTGGGAAAATTATATTTTTCTCAAATTAAAACACGAAGACAGCTCTATTGCTTCGGCTGTCGTCCTTGCTTCTTCACCAGTTGCATCGTTTGTAAAGAACATTAGGATACATCACCCCAAAAGCTAGCTCAAAGGGTGAAAGTGCCCAACACGTCCTCTCACACGAGAGCCCATTGAACTTGAAGAGTGGATAATGTAGTTGTATCGCTGGGGACATCACCATCTTGTAGTGCTGTGCTGTGCTTATGCTCGATCATAGTCACTGCACTTGTTCGCAAGCACCCATCTTGTAGCATCACTTTCAATGGTCCATTAGTTTTGCTTAATCTTGTGCTTAAAACTTAAAAGTATGCCCCTTTCCATCTTTTCACTTTCGCTGCTCTTATTACTTATTAGCGTGATTTATCTTCATATATTGTTAGCATTTTTTACTGACATAATGGTTGGATCTGGAATTTGGGTATGTGGTTAGAAAAAAAATTATATTCCATTCTATATACATGTATTATGACTATCACCTGATTGAATGCCTTTTTTTTTTCACTACTTGAATGCCTTTCTTAATTTTTTTACTACTAATTATTATAAATTATAATTGTTAGAATATACTAAAAACATTTGTTGAAAGTTGTTTTATAAATTATAATTCCATTCTATGTACTAAAAACATTATTAGAATATACTAATTATAAATTATGATTCCATTCTGATTCTATATACTAAAAGTTGTTTTATTATTGGTGTGTTATGATTTTATATGTCGATTTTTTTTTTTTTTGGTACGTAATAAATTTTTACGTTTTGTTTACATTTCACGATTTTACATTTCACGATTTTACGTTTCTGCTCACCTTCACCATTTCTATGTACACACTTTCGTTTTAACAGCATTGCTTCCATGGTAGATGGCAAGGGCTCTATATATTCGTCGCTCTTCTATGACATAATCTCAGGTGCGCAAGGAGCTATGGAGTTGGATAACAGCAGTGAAAGTTTACCTCATCAGATGAATTCAAGTGATCTTTCCTTCCAAAACAGCAGCCAAAGAAGTAATTATGTGGAAATGCCGCCGCCGCCTATATTGTAAATCCCACTACTTTTACACTTATCTTTGAACAGAGACTCATCTGCTCTCTTCTTGTTCATAATTCAAATCCAAACTCAATTCCAAAGAATGCAACTCTTTTTTGACATGGACATTTAAAGAGTTTTGTTAAATACAATAAAACAATGTACTCCCTAAGCAGTGCGCAAACCTGCTTTACTTCCAGCTATTGTTCTAAACAATTCAATGTCCGTTTCATAATTACAATATGCTAAACAAACTGTGTAGCAGCAAAATCAGTGTACTTCACTTGAACATAAGTGAGGGTAGAGAGAAAGCTTCTTGCAAAATATTGCAAAAGAATATCAATGAGCAGGAACACAAAAAGCAATAACAAATTATGTACAATCGTTTTGATGAGACTGGATCAGAGAATTTAGGAAAATTAAGAGACAAGCACCTTTTTGGGCCCAGATAACTGGATTTTCTGTATTAATATGAAAAGGAAATACAATACTACAGTCTCACCTATTACAGTAAAGCAATGCACAAAGATAAATGACTACTACTATGATCAGAATGACTAACAACCCTGCACACAGAGATACAGGTTCAGTACAATTGAAGAGGTACTGATTCTCTCCCAAATCCAAGTCCTAGTCCTTTTCTGACTCATGCTTACAACCTTCACCCTCCTATATTCCCTCTAACTGACTAGACGCGTCAGCACATCCTCCTTCTCTCTTCTAACAGCCTATTCTTCTAGAACATTTCCCAATAATCCCCTGTACCTCCTCCTAGCATACACCTTCGTAGGAGTTCTATCACGTTTACTTCAAAAATATTTTAAAAATTCATTGAGGTTTAATCATAGTTATTAAAATGAGTCCGTAACAGCTTCCTAAAAGAATTGTAATTTTTACACCAAAAAAAAAGAATTGTAATTTGGATGAGAAAGTGCACTTCGAGAACATGGGGCCTAGATCCTTGGCAGGATACAAATAAACGAAGCAGGATCCAATATTGTATAAAACATGAATCCACAATTGTTCATGTTTAGAATGAAAGCCTATCTGGTATATTATCAATCTTGTTTCTTGCACATATCAAAATTATCGAAATTCCGTCCCCTAAATTCTATATTGTAAGCACTATCTTCTGTACAAAAGCCCCTTGAATAACCAAAGTATGATGTGTTGAATAAACGCAAGTGTACCACTGTTTCTTCGATTGGCTACCTACTTACCTCTGGCCGGGGAAGGTTGCTTTGCAGGGGTCAACTTCCGAAATGCAGCATGCAGCATCATGCCTAAAGAGATTTTTTGAACTTAAGGACCCGCCAGATAAAGGAGACCAGTTAAGGAAGAGCATAGGGCAGCAGTAAGATTACAAATAGAAAGACTCACCTGCATAGCTGACACTTATGGCACAAAAGAGAGCCATTTGAACATTGGAAAAGATTAGAATAACTGCTGTTGCTGCAAAATATGAGATTCAAAAACAAGTTAGAGATGTTTTTCCAAGCATCCATAAGCAATGTGCTATACCACACATTACATGAGAAAAAAGGGAGGGAGGGTGAAATATATGCAGAAAACAAGAGATGCCACATGAGCTCAGTAAAAGACATTTCTAGTTAAACCTATGCCACTAAGTATATAACATAAAAATTTCATGCATGCCTAGGGAGAACGTCAGTGAATCTCTTCTTCTTACTTGGGAGTTTGGAGGGGGAGTATTGTTGGGCTATGACAAGTGGGCCCAAGTCCAGCAATGCAAAAGAGTTCATAGCAGTTAGTTAGAGGAGAGAGATGTTGTTATATAAAGTGATTTGGGGGTGGGGTTTACTTTATGCATGTATTCAGAATATTTGGAGTGGAGTTTTGGGAAAGGATCTCTTGGGATCTCTTTGGCCTAGGTATATTGGCTGGAGACTGAGTGAGGTCTTTTGGTATTTATTTTCTGCATTTTATCTTGAATTAGTGTTTGCAATCTCTTGACTTAATAAATACATAGTTATAATTTTCTGGGTTCCATCAATTTGATGGGCTGAGATATTTAGTGATGGGCTTGAGATAATAAGTTAGTTACTAGGGAGTTATTCTAGAATATTCTCAAATAATAGGATATAAGGAGGGGAGAGTGGGAGTGTGAGGTAGGCATATATTGAGTGAAATGGAAATTGGGAATGGGAATAGGATCTCTAGGGATCTCTTGAGGCCTAGGTCTTTGGCTTTGAGGGTGAGTTGAGACCTTTGGTTTATATTTCTGTCATAGTTGTATTTTCCTACATTGTCATTTACTACCGTCATTGTCAGTAGTGAGTCTGTATGTATGTTAAAGCTCTGTTCTCTGTTGTTATGGTAGATACTGTCAAAGAAGTTATCTCCAATGTATTATTAAGTGAATCAAAGTGTTCTTTTACTGTATTTGTTATTATTTTTGCTGTTAATTGATTGGGGTTCCATCAGTGGGGATTACTGGTGAGGAAAGATTATGAATTCGGTTCAATCCACAGCTTAAGCAAAGTCCAGAGGCAGCACATGCCTATTGGATGTTATTGTTACATTACATCCCCAATAAAACTATAGCAAAACCATAAGAAAAACACCCCCTCCCCCTTTTTTCTTTGGTAAAGGCAATAGATTACCAGTTCATACTCAAGTAGTAAAAAGCAAAAAAGAAAAAGAAAATAAAAATACTTTCTATAAGAAATTATTGCTCACCACATTGGGCGATGCGAAGCAAGCACTGGCGAGTAAGAGGATATTGATCCAACCCCCATTTGTCGCTAGAAAACTTGAAGAAATCCCACAATGCCAAACAAGATATCAAACCAACAAGAGCAAGTGGCATCTTATACCTACAACCATCAAGAACAAAAACGCAGTTATATCAAACAACAACAACAAAGAACACAACAATAACCAAATTAATACCAACCGCAAGTGAAATTACCAAAGCTGCCACACTGCACTATCAAAAACAACCACCCATCATAACTTGAGAAATACACCAAATTCACAAAGAAAAAAAAAGCCTAATTTCACCCAATACATTAATATCATGTTTCAAAAATAGAACAGAAAAGAAAAACTCCAACTGAAAGCAAGATAGTACCATACAAACAAAACATCTTAAAAATCCAAACTTGCACATTTCAAAATGTGAAAGGAGGAAGCTTTGAGGGGGGGAAAGGAGAGTGTACGTACAAAGCGCAAGCGAAGAAAAGGATGAAGAGATAGGCGTAGTTGCGAGCATAGCGCTTGATGTTTTCATGGACCCTAAAGCGAGCTTGGGAGGGTGAGGAAGGGAATGAGTAAGACCCGCAGAACCCGAAGAAGGAGCGCGACCAAGAAGGGGTGTCGCCGGAGAAATCATCGGCGGTGAGCTTAGCGAAGGGGTTGAGAGTGAGGAGAGAGAGTAGGGTTACGAGGCGAGAGAAGAGACCGGAAACTGGTATCGGGGAGGAGTTGGGGTCAGCGGTGGTGGATGCAGCGGCGGCGGCGGCGGAGGAGGTGCGGTGGTCGAGAATTTCGAGGTAGCCGGTGTCGCGGAGCCACTTTTCAAAAGCGGGTTCGGGAACGCTGAGGGCTAAGGGATTCGAAGAGAAAACCATCGCTATTCTCAAAACGATACACAAACAAACAAAGAAACAATCATTCACATTATCATTTACAATATCATATGCTCATTTCATTTTGCAAGCCCTGCCCAAATGCTCCTCTTTTTGGAAATGGATCACATGTTATTTAATATGATTATCTCAGAGAATTTTAATGGATGAATCAATGGTGATGATTTTATAACTATTTGTTTTCATATATTTTTCTTTTAGAGTAAATAACATTTTTGATCTCTGGCAATATCCACAGACCCCTTATTGGTCCCTAGCAATAAAAAGGGACATAGTGGTCCTTTAAATTACAAAAAACAGGCTACGTTAGTCCTTTTGTTAAATCTCATCCAACGGCCTAACTAATGATGCACACTTGGCATGTTAGTTTGCTGACACGGATTTGAATGGTCCACCGTGGATTTCCAACGCCCTTATTGGTCCCTGACAAAAACCACGGGGCCTTTTTTGGTCCCTACTAAAGAAAAACAGAGACATGAAATCAAAGGATTTCTATGCAATCTATTGTCATTGTCTTCATAAAATTCTCGAGCTTATCCATGTATCCATGCTGACTGTAGAGTTCAATCATGCAGTCATAATGCCCCAGCCGATGCAGGACACAGTATTCATTGCTCATTGACTTAAAGCATTCCGCACCAAACTCAACAAGGCCTTCTTCAACACAAGCAAGCAGAATGCCCTGAAAGGTCACATGGTCTGGTTTGATGCCTTCTGCTAGCATTATCCCAAAAAGTTCAAGTCCCTCTTTGCCTCTATGATTGTGACAACATCCCAAAATTATGGTATTCCAAATAATCACATCCCTAGTAACTGCCCCCATCAGAACCTCAATAGCATACTCAAGACAACGACATTTAGAGTACATGTAAACCAAAGCAGTTCTGATTATAGTATCTATCGATAGATATAGCCATGAACCTGTTTCCCCATTTCATGGTCTGAAAGGCCTGCCGACACATTTCAAAGGCCTAACCTTAGCCAAAAACATCCGCGAGAACATGAAAACTGATTCCTTTGCATCACCAACATCAAGATATCGCCTCACAATTACATTCCGAGTGACAGCATTTGGACGTGGATCACATTTCCACAAAAACCAAACTTTGTCACAAGCCCATGAACCTACCTGGAGAGAAGAAGCTGAGAAGCAGCAGCACAAGAGGCAAGAACGCTAGCAAAGGTGACTTCATTGGCGCAAAAACCGGACCTATGATGAGAACTCTTCTTGTACCACCTTATGCCAAAACATATGAGGCAAGCTATCAAAATTCCAAGGGCCACACCAACAGAGACACAAATGATAACTAAATCAGCTTGACGAACCATTCATTCATCTCTCTTCATATTCAAACAATTTAATCATCTTGCACAAAACTAGCACTGGAGAGGTTCACTTTCACAAAGTTGACACAATTTTAAGTTAATTCAATACTTCATCTAGCTAGAACTGTCATAAATTAAATTGCTAATTTCGTGATAGAGATACAAGGAGGAAAGGGTATACTACAACCACAACCAACTTGAAAGATGAATCTCATCAAAAATGAAAAAACATCTAACTCTTTCTTAAAATCTCTGCACTAAAAGTGTGACATAAGCAAAGAACAAGACATGGACACCTTATTAAGGACAAAGCAATTTTTCAGATTTGATTATTCATGAATTTAAGGAAAAGCATGATAACTGCATAGTATGCATATTCATATATTACTACTTTCCTTGACAGATACATCACATGCCAAAAGAAACACAAATCTTATCCTCTTCATGATTCACATAAAAGTTATAGAAGTAGGGTTCAGGAAGCAGTTTACAATTCACAAATGACAAACCCTTTAAGAGTAACCGAAACCTTGTGATAATTTTGTTTTGATTAAATAATTTAAGTTTATTTGATGAACTTAAATTCTACACGAATTTATTTAATATAAACAGATTTAAATTAAAATAAATCCAATGAATGCTGAAGTTCCACGTAAGGGCTACCTGACTGTTACATTGCTCGTTGTCACCCTCTTCTTCTGACCGTCGCCACTGCACAAGCAGAGAGTGGGAGCAGCACAATACAACGCTAAGCTTCCCCATTTCTACGAAAAAATTCACTTTCTGTTCAAATCCAAACCCTAACCTGGCCAATTTCGTGACCCACATTTCAATTTTCCTCCAAAGCACCATCGTCATTGACCACACATTCTGTGAAATGGACGATAGTGCTAGGGCTTCCAATTTGTCCAAAGGAGACTATGGTATGGAGACTCCGTCAAAAGCTTTGGTCATTCACAACAGGGTACCTCAACGACGTGGGAGAAAAGAAGCAAATTGTGAAAGTGAGGGAAGGTCTTAGCGTTGTAATCTCCAGATAAACTTCAAGTGGGAGAGAAGAAGAAAAAAAAAACTGAAGGTACCTCAACGACGTCGTTTTTGGTCCTAAGTGGAATGTGAGTCAGCCACTTAACGGTACACGTCAGACACGTTAGTGACGTCGTCATAGCTCAACTAACAGAAGGGCTAACATGGCACTATTTTTCTAAAATTAAGGACCAAAATGAGCTTTTTTTTATTGTTGGGGACCAAAAGGGACTTCGTGAATATTGTCAGGGACGAAAAAAGGTATTTACTCTTTCTTTTATTATTATTGATTCACTTTGGTAAGATTATGATTTTTCCATATAACATATGAGAAGATCTACTCCCCTCTTTTTGTTTGTTTCAGGGCAAGATTTGTTTTTTCATTCTTACCACTTTTGTTGTCTTCACCTTCTTTTTTATTTTGTATACCATGGTTTATATTGTTCATTTAAAAAAAAAAGTAAACATGTATATTTTTTTTGGAATATGTTATACTCACCACATTTTTTTCTTACCCCCTCTTACAACTAATTTTTTTATCGTTGGATCAAAATCTAATCAATAGATCTCACTTTATGCCATTTTGTAACTGTTGATTTAATTTTGATCAAACGGTAATAAAATTAGTTGTAAAAGGTGGTAAGAAAAAAGGAAAAAGTGTATATCATTTTGAAGGATATAAAGTTGTGTCATTTTAAGTGAGAGAATGAGATAGATAAAGGAGAAGAGAGTGGACAAAAAAATATAAATGTGTGAGTCCCACCTCTTTGTGAGAGTTAAATGACATAAGTTGTGTCATTTAAAAGGACAAACACTTTTCCCAAGAAAAATGATGATAAATATAACCTCCTTAATTTTTTCTTCTCGATAGAGGTTATACTTCCTATTTCTTTTATCTTACAACCTCTTTCAACTATTTCAAAATAAAATTCATGGCTTTCATTTAAGAGATAGGATATTGTTACTCCCAATTAGTGTTACTATCAATGTCACTACTAGTTTATTTCACTGTTAGATCGATTATGTTAATCCAACAGTTCTGATTTGACTTTCTAAAAACCTTCTTTCTTCTCCCTATATTTAATCAGAAAAATATTTCTGCAGTTACAGCAGATAAGTTATCTGCATTTACTCCCAAAACGACGTCGTTTTGGGATTGAAATATTAAAAAATTAAATTATAAAGATTATAATAACCCTGAAATAATTAAAATTATAAATACACCATGATTTTTGCCCCAAAACGACGTCGTATTGGGCTTTGTGCATATAACTTATTTGCAGTAACTGCAGAAAAAGCGAACTCATATTTAATACTTTATATTTATTTTCATCTTTGTATAATTATGATTCCCCATATTTAATGCTTTCACATTAAATATGATGAATCATAATCATACAAAGGTGAAAATAAATATAACCGTTGAATCAACATAATCAATGTAACGGTGAAACAAACTGTTAGGGACATTAGTAATAACAATATCGGTAGGATATTGTAACAACCAATTAGGGTTACTACAAATCAATTTTACCATTAGATCGATTATGTTGATCCAACGATTATATTTATTTTCATCTTTGTATGGTTATGATTTCTAATGTGAAAGTATTAAATATGAGAAATCATAACCATACAAATGTGAAACTAAATATAAAGTATTACATATGGGGAATCATAACAATATAAAGATAGAAATAAATATAATCGTTAGATCAACATAATCGATCTAACAATGAAATTGATTGGTAGTAACATTGATATGAAATTGATTGGTAGTAACATTGATAGTAACCCTAATTGATTGTTACAATATCCTACCCCTAAAAATAATTATAAATTTTTTTTATAAGTATAACCTCCCTCTTCTCCTAATACATATATGTATAAACCTAAGAAAGAAGTGGCAGTGTTACTTTATAACTTTATATTTATAATTTAAATAAAAAAATATTTATATTCACATGTTAATTAAATTCTTTGAGGATATGAGAGAAAAAAATTCGGGGAAAAAAATCCAAAGAGAGTCTTACGGCCACATTCAACCATTGTTGACAGAAAAACAAATTGTTGTGCCTATATAACTTAGTATTTGGGACTTGCTGTTAAATGAGAAATTCTTCACACTGCTGAAAATAGTCAACGCTAGAGTTTATTAATACAAATAAACTTATTACATTCATCTATCTATGCTAAGTAATCATTGGCATCCCCTTGAAGTTACTCAAGGCCTATGGACCATCGTTTGTGCCCAATTGAAAGGTTTGAAAACTCCAAGCCAATCTCTCACAGCACTGATATGCTAGTTACTAGTGACATGCATATTGGAACGATCAACATCACAAAAATGCTTTGTTTGAATTACGTAAGCTCTTCATGTTACACCCCCCCCCCAAAAAAAAAAAGATGGAAAGTCTTCTTCATGTTGAAAGGGTTGCATCAAATATTCTTGTAACAGACTACATTCATGATCCCCCATGACATCACCTAAAATGAAATATAGCTAATAGAAATTGATGCAGTTCTTAAGAGTTCATACACGGATGAATCCACAAAGCATCTCTTCACAAGTTTCTATGCTTTCCTGCATATGTGTTTACTCTTTTCATGTGCCAAACAAGATGAACACAACGCCATAAAGCCCTTTTTTCTCACCAGAATAATGGATAGAAGATCATCGCTTAAGTTTCCTTCTAGCCAAAGCAGGGGCTTTCTTAGGGATATAGACCTTGTAGCTAACCTGAGCATTCACAAACTATTAGTTATAAAAAAGGGTAAGGAATGGAAAGGATTACATACCGTATTTTAGGGCTCATCATTATGACAGTAACTTTCAAAATCCAAGACAGAAATTATCACAAACTCACCTCTACCATTTCACCACCCCGCATCACATTCATTGTTTTCTGCTCAAACTGGGAACCCTGGTTGGATTCAACTTGCAATTTGCCTGCATTATTCTCTACTGATGAACTTTCAAGGCAAGATTCTGGGGTAGCAGAGTTGCGAAACTCATCAACATCTCTGCCACTGCTATTAATACTCTGAATTGCAGCTTGAGTAATCTTAGCTGAATTCCTTTCGGCATCACCCTTAGTCACCACAAACTTTGCATTGGGAGGTTCATGTGAAGTAGATGTTTGCTTCAATTCAAAGTGATCCTTGATATCATCTTGCCCCTTACTTGGGTTATTACGCTTAAATTTAGGTCCATGAATAGAAGGCTTAGGAACAGCAGAAGATAATCCCCCAATGTTATTGACATTATCATTGCTACTATGACTCAAAACATGAGCAGATTCAAAAGTACCCTTAATCTTAGTAATTTCTGCTACGTCCAATTTTTCCTGAGGAAGTCCCGCCACAGGTGTTTGCTTCAGAGATGAGTGACTTTGAAGTGAATCATGGCAAGATGCTGGTGTGGTCAATTCTAAATTGCTCGTCCCAAGATTAGTGGATTCAGTGATTGTTTCACTAGGGTCGTCTGCATCAATCACTTTTCCTGGTGCAGAGGCGAAATGAAGTTTAGAAGAACCAGATATATCTTTATCCTTGTTTAAAACACTTTCCTTGTTTCTTGGATAAGCAATTAAATTTGTCCTCCCAACAGGCAAACTAGTTTCTTCTACAGGGGTTTGCTTATCAAATTTTGTCCCTACAGCCTCTTTATTGACAATAGACTTATCTTGAACCAGTTCATGTTTATCAGTAATTGGTTGCTTCACCTGGCTAACAACTTTATTTTTCTGATCAGAAGCTTTTGCAGAAGACTGGACCTCACCTCGGAACTTTTTCAGGTTTTCCAACGCTCTTTGTCTTAGAATTGACTCCAAGTCATCACCATTCAGATTAGCACCAAAAGTTTCACTTGTTTCCTTCTTCATAGATTCACTTGTCCCAGCACTATAAGCTTTAAGGTCACTCCTGTCACTGTAGCTCCTATCTCCAAGTTCGGGCTCTGTGAAGTTAAGATCAGCATTCATATCCCCTATCTCGTCCTCAACTCTTACTTTCTCTTCTGATGCAGTATGTGTATGATGATCCAACTCTCTCTTTGTGGCCCCATCATTACTGTCATTACTTCTACAAGGGTAATCATGATCATCTACAATCTCCTCCTTGGTTTCATTTCTACACAATTCCATAGATTCTTCTGCCTCTTTTGTAACAGTAATAACTGATCTGAGCCATCTAGAATTGTTCTCCCCTATATACTTCACTTCGGTCTCTTCATAACTATGTTCACTACGAGGACTGCACGAAAAACTTCTGGCCTTGTATCTACTACTCTTTTCACTTCCACTTCTTCCTCTCTCCAACCTTCTTTTGTCTTTCTCTTTTCTTTCTGTTCTTCCCCTGTGGCTCTCATATTGACTGTCATCATTGCTATCACTCCCACCCTGACATGTCGAGCAGCTCCATGATCCACTTCCCACCAAATTAGCACTTGCTTCTCTCCTAATTTTTTTCTTCTGGTGGGATTCCTCCCTCACCTCATCATTCTCATTTTTCCGCTTTGCCTTTTTCCTCTTCCTAGCATAGAGAGAGTCCACACTGCTGTCACGGTTAGATGATCGTCTCCGAGCCCTCTTCTTACGACCTTTCACATCTTTTCTTGCACGAGACTGATCCCTTTTCCTTCGGTGACTATCATCAGAAATCAAAATTTTTGAATCATCATAGTCAGAGCTAGAAAGAGAAACCTCACGACGGCGACCCTTCTTGGATTTATGTTTCTTAATCTTACTTCTACTGCTTCCCTTTGCCTAAACCATCAAATTAGGTATATATTCATGATGAATTTACATTTGTGAAAACAAAAATAGGAAATTCCATACTCAGTTAAATTAATCAACACAACAAACTAAATTCACTCAGTTTGGTCTGCTAAGAACAGATTGCAAAACCCAACAACCAAATTAAACTAATACCTAGTATCCCCCCTCCCCCCAACAAGCAAAAAAGAGAGCAGATTTCCTATCAGTTGAGGTACATGATTCAAACTCACAAAATTTCAATTCAAAAAACACAAGCAATATCAGAAAGTGCGTTCCTTTTTCCCAAAATTGGTAAACCTGAAACTTCAAAGTTAAATACCCTAAAAAAAAAACGATTAGGTAAATGAGAATTATACCTTAGAGGAATTCTTGGAACGTTTCCTCTTGAGCGAAGCGGAGGATTTCCCCATTGGAGCTACCTGCAAAATCAAACTTACAAAAAAAAAAAAAAAAATTAAAGAGGAAGAAAGAGAGAGAAAAGAGACGGTGTAAATAGCGGAAGAGGAATTTGGGAACGTGTATTATTGTAGAAAAAAACAAAATGTTTCGCTTTTTATGTTAGCGAAACAAACCTAATTGGCCAATTTACCTTTTGAAACCAATATATACCCTTTCGCCACTGCTTCGAGGTTAACCAACTCTGCGCAAAATGTGCTTTTTTTACTGGGTCAGTCAAATACTTCTCATGTCATATCAAAAAAATATAAAATATAAAATAAAAATAAAATATATTTTATGTCCTTAACAAAAATTACGATATTCATTTTAATTTCTTAAGAAAAAAAATTGATTTGTAATTTCTCCAAAATTTAAAATAAATTTAATTTATCAAAATCGTAATCCCTCTAAATTTTTTAAAGAAAATTTACATTAATCTTTTAAATTGACTAACATATGTCTTGGGCATTGTAATATTTGTTGTGAACGCAAGATGTATTTTCCTCAAAAAAAAAATAAAAAATTCTCATTATGTTACATGATAATAATTTTTTTCCTGTATACAAAATAACCATATGATTCGATTAAATTTGTTTTCTCTTTCCTCGGATCTTATAAATTTATTGTGCGTAAGGAAATTTTTAACCCCTTTTTTACTCGAGCAACTTTATTTTAGTATTATTAATTGAGGTAGGATATTGAAATAATTAATTAGTGTTATTATCACTATTACTACCAATTAATTTTACCATTAAATCGATTATGTTGATCCAACGATTATATTTATTTCCACAATTATATAGTCATGATTCTCTATATTTAATGTGAAAATATTAAATTTGAGAAATCATGACCACACACAAAGATGAAAATAAATATAAAGTATTAAATATGGAGAATCATAACAATATAAAGATGAAAATAAATATAACCATTGAATCAACATAATCGAAATTAATTGGTAGTAACGCTAATTGATTGTTACAATATCCTTCCCCTTATTAATTTGATACAATCCAATTTATTTTTTAAAATCGGGTAAAAAATAAAAAATGTGGGTATTAACAACTATTTTGTAATAATTAATTTTATTTATAGATTTTTTACTAAAAGAGTTTAATATTTCTTTCATTATTGGAAATAATTTTTTCTTTAATGACCCAAAATGATATTATTTTGAATTGAGAGAAAAAAAAAATTAAAAATAAAAACTAATATAACCTCAAAATAAATTAAAATTATAAAAATACCTTTTTCCCAAATTTAAAATGACATCTTTTTGAGTCACTGAAAATAACTTATATACTTACTTTAATTGTATATATTAAACAAGATTTCTCGTAAATATTATTACAAGAAACAACATTTAATCCGCCTTATCCGAAACAAAGATGTTACTGTACTCAGACCCACCGGCAAAAAAATTTAAATAATGCATTTTAATTAAATAATTACACATTTATTATAGTTTTAGGAATAATTATGGATTTGTTGCACAATGTAACGCTCCTTTTGGGCGTCACATGAGACGCCACATTGAGGCGTCTCACCCTAAGGGGAGACGCCCAAATGGGGCGTCACTCATTATGTGTTCACACGTAGGGGTGTCAAAATGGGTTGACACGACACAAATTTGACACGACACGAATTCGACACGACACAAATTTGACACGACACGAATTCGACACGACACGATTATATCAACACTAACACGACACGAATTTTTATTCGTGTCAAAATCTTCAACACTGACACGAAACAAATTTTTTGCGGGTTGACACGTCACGACACGAATAACACGCAAAATAGGGGTCAAAACAGTAATTGACAAAAAAAAATTAAAAAAATGGATCTAAATTAAAAAAAATTAAAAAATAATAATAAAAAATTAAAAATAAAATAATTTAAAAAAAATACGGGTCGACACGAACATGAATACATCAACACGAACACGACACGAATTTTTTTGCCGGTCAACCCGAACACGAATTTTCGTGTCGTGTCGCGGGTCGACCCGCGTGTCAAAACCTATATTGACACCCCTATTCACACGTGTCATTTTTTTTCAAAAAATAATAATAATTTAATCATAAAACTTTTGAAGGCCATAACTTTTGACTAGGGTATCCAAAGCAGGTAATTCTTGTTTTGATTCCACATAACTTTTCGAGATCTACGCAATGACATCTCATTTGACATATTTTATTTCTCACAAATACAATTTTACTTTGCAAGAATAGTATTATAAGAGCGGTTAAACCCAAAAGTCTATGAGTTCTGAGTTTATGATTTAATATAAAAAAATAAATAAAATTTTGATTTGTGATTTACAAAAATTTGATTTGTGATTTAAATAAAAAATAAAAATTATTATTAATAAGGAAAATAAAATAAAGATTTGATTTGTGATTTAAACTAAAAAATCAATTTAAAAAAATATTAGAAATAAAGGAAATAATTAAATAAATATTCTAAATCTCTAAGGAAGAAGGATAATATTTTTGAAATTAATGATTAATGCTATAAGCTTCTGGGTTATTATTCGTGGTCTGAAATTAATGATGGCTTATGAATGTTTTTCAAAAATACAATTAGCAAAATTAGGCGTGATTGCCTCTTGATTGAAACTCAATTTAGATGTAATTGGTGACGTGTCAGGTGTTGACACATGTCACATTTTTAAACTCAGAAGCCTCTGAGTTCTGCGTTTGTGATTTAATATAAAAAATAAATCAAGATTTGATGTGTGATTTAAATTAAAAAAATAAATTTTTTATTTTTATTATAAAAAAAATTTGGTTTGTGATTTAAATTAAAAGTAACACTTTTCCCTTATTATTAATAAGGAAAACAAAATAAAGATTTGATTTGTGATTTAAACTCAAAAATCAATTTGAAAAATCTGTATTAAAAAAGGAAATAATCAAATAAATATTCTAAATCTCTAAGAAAGAAGGATTACCTGATTGAAATATAAATTATGTTTGTGAGAAATAAAATATATCAAATAAAATGTCATTGCGTAGATCTCGAAAAGTTACGTGGAATCAAAAAAAGAATTACCTGATTTGGATACCCGAGTTAAAGTTATTCAAAAGTTTTATGATTAAATTATTTATTTATTTTTATAAAAAAATGACACGTGTCAACACCTGATGAGTGACGCCTCATTTGGGCGTCTCCCCTTAGGGTGAGAAGCCTCAATGGGGCGTCACATTATGCAATAGATCCGTAATTATTCCCAAAACTATAATAAATGCGTAATTATTTTATTAAAAAGCATTAAATTAATTTTTTTGACAAGATAGCTTTTTCAACCTCGAACAAATTATGTTTTCTTGTTGTGTAAGTAAAGAACAGTACTACAGAAGTGAAATTTTTTGACAAGGGTATATAGGTTACACATCTAGAAAATTAAGATAAAATTTGCAAGGACTGCACCACTAGGGTTAGCCTAGTGGTGTTAGATGTGTTTAGGGTTGGCAAAACGGGCCAACCCGGCTCGACCCGGCCCAACCCGCATTCAACCCGTTAAAAATGGGTCGGGTTAGGGTTGATCCGAAAAGAGAAACGAGTCAGAAATCTAACCCGACCCGAGCCGGGTTAGGGTTGGCTTGATAATCAGCTCGCTGAGTTGGCTAAAAAAAACTCGCGAGTTAGTTTGAAATAATGCCAACGGGTTGGCTCGCGGGTTAGTTAGCTCGAAATATTGCCAATGAATTGGCTCGCGGGTTGGCTCCAAAGAAAGGGATCAAAACAGAACCAAATTCATTAAAACTAATCTCCAGAATCACAAACTTCCAAGAACACATACCACATGAGTAAGCGAATCTGGTTTTGGAGTAACCTCCTCTTGGGAGAGAATTGTATAGTCAGCGTAAGTGGCTCTTAGTGCAGTTGGATGCAACTAGGGGTGTAAATGGGCCAGGCTAGCCCAGCCCAGCCTACAGCCTGTCCAACATTGAGCCTGGCCTAGCCCGGCCTTTTAGAGAAATTAGAGTAGGCTTAGGCTTATAAGAAAGTTTTTTTAACAAATAGGCCATAGGTCAATTTTGTCAAGCGTGGTCTAAAGCCTTGTAGGCTGGCCTATTTAATTTATTAAAATAAAATAAAATAATAATAATATTTATTTAATGTGGCAAAGTACCAATACCAACCCTAATTTTTATGTGCACTCTCGCTCTCGGCTTCGTCTTTTCTTTCCCTTGTCTTGATGGTGGTTTAAAGATTTTTAGATGAATGACATTCTCTTGAAGACTTTATTTCAGCACCCAATAATTGTATTTTTCTTATTTTTCCTATTTCTTTGACTCTATTCCTCTATGATATACATTCTAGAGTTGGGGTATTATGTTGACTCTTTCTTGTTTTTTTCTTATGAGAAGTATAGTGCATGCATGAATGGACCTTTCTTTGCTCTATACAATTAGTTTGTTTGCTTAGTATCTACAGTAGGAGGCCTATAAGACCTGTAGGCCATGTCAGGCTTTCTTATTTTTAAAAATAGGTCGAGCTTGGCCTACAAATAAAGCCTTTAATAGGCCAGTAGGTCAGATAGGCTAAATTTTTTTTTACGTAGGCTTGGGCCAGGAAGGGCAAAGCCCAGCCTAGCCCAGCCCATTTACACCCCTAGATGCAACGCCCCAAAAAATTCTTGACCCACTTTCACAGACCGAACCGAAGCTCCAACCGCCGCAACCTCGCCGCTGAGTCACGGCCCAAAATAATAGGCAAAAGCGGCTCAAAAATGGAACAACCGTAACCGGAACGCATCTGAACGAAACAACAATTTCAAAAAAGAATTAAATTAAATTCAAAAAAACGAAGAACACTCCATTATTGTACTCGAAGAAAAGCACCAAACTTTGTGATGAATCGCACTCGGGTATCTAAGGGGTTAACCGAAGCAGTTTTGTAATTAAAAAAAAAAACCCAACCGCGAGCTGGCCCGTTTGACCCGCGGGCTGGCTCGTTTTGGTCCGGGTTGTAATGGATCGGGTTGGCAACTCATTTATGTCAACCCAACCCGACTCATTTAGGACGGGTTGGCTCGTTTTTGCCAACCCTAGATGTGTTTAATGTGTATTAGATTTGCACTTCAATTTCCATGTAATGTTACAAAAAAAATAGCAAAGATTCAATACTAATTATTGAATAAGTTAAAATGATAAAGATAACCAATTTACTTAAGAATTAAAAGATTATACGAATCTAATTAATTTTAATAAAAAATTTAACAAATAAGTTTGATTGCAAAATATTCTCCTTTTGATAATTTATGAGAAGTTATATAGATTTAAGTGTTTGTGTTGTTAATTAGTAATAATAACAAGTGCCCTCTTGTAGATCATAGACCAGAAAACATTTCTAGACTATTTCTTTTTATTTGTTATCAAGTGGATTTTGTATATACTTTATTTCGGGTTATTCCGGTAACCACCCCTTCCTCAAATACACTAATACTTAGAGTGAAATATGAAACAATTATTAATTAATAGCTATATTTAATAAATTTTTAAACATTTATTGTTAATACTTATACAATTACTAATAACAATTAATCCCAAGTGTAATACCCATAAGTTACCATAACATCCTCCTACTTCAACTAATCCATATCTCTAGTTTATTGATGCTTAAAATATAGAATTGATGGATTTTTGAAAAAAAAAAAGGGGTTTGTAGAAATTGAGGAAGTTAAAACTTAAACTCGTAACCTAGCTAGAAAAATGCATTTCATTCTTAAATGTTTTACGTGTTTTAAAACATTAGCAACATACTCTTTAATATTCTCTTTTGATAAATTTTCTTACTTTACTAAATGACTTAAACTCATTCTTAAAAAAAAAAAAAAAAAAAAAAAAAAAAAAAACTAATATGAAATTTTACCTGATAGTAAAAAAAGTGTTGAAAAGAAAATTGTCATGTCAAACTTTTGGAAAGGTCCTATATAGGCACCAACAAGACAACAACCAAGTTCTTTCCAAAGATTTAGCGGCAAATATGAAACAACTTTTTCATCTCTTTCCTTCCACAGAGTTTAGACACTATGGAGAACTCAACTTTTAATACACCACTTTAAAAATAAAAATAAGAAACTAAAACAAACTTTCTTGATTTTGAACATTTTTATGTGTCACCATTATTATTGTTCATAGACAGAAGCAGTGCATTCCTTTTCCTGAACCAACAAGTCCAGCAGGTTTTAAGATGCTAAGCATCTTCAGCATCACTCATGCTGGCACGACTGTCTATATAGAATTCAGTGGAGAAATCAACTTCATCAACAATCCTTTCTCTGTTGCATTGACAATGCAGAATATGTATAGTAAGTGTAAACACCATAAAGGGGAAAGTGCAACTAAATTGCCTTAACCAAGATAATAGGAAAATAATACCTTTCAAGAACACACTTCCCTTCTTTATACTTTTGGCTCTTATCATGCGCAGACTCCTGAGAAAGAATAGTTAATGTTTTCAAAAAAGGATCAAAAGTTGTGTGGCACATAACTAGAACTACAGAATAAATAAACAGAAAAATATTTCTGCAGTTAATGCAGATAAGTTATCTGCATTTACTCCCAAAACGATGTCGTTTTGGGATTGAAAGATTAAAAAATTATAATTATAAAGACTATAATAACCTTGAAATAAATTAAAATTACAAAAACACCATGATTTTCGCCTCAAAACCACGTCGAATTGGGCTTAATGCAGATAACTTATCTGCAGTAACTGCAGAAAGAGCAAACCAATAAATAAATATATAAATAAATCTGGATCACTCATCCAGCATAGACATTCTAAGAGATTTCATCTGCAACAACAATGTTTCTAGATACATGAAAATCATTAATATAGGGTAACACAGAAGGATTACATATTTCCAGCCAATTATTTGACCACAGCAACAGCAAAAGATATCTGCCACAGTATGCAATCCTGAAAGCATCACCCTTTCTTCTGGTGCACCAATTGTGATGTTCACCCTGAATCACATGCCCAAAACATAAGCATCCCCAACCCAAGAGTACAGAATATTCATGTGTAGTGATATTTTCATCTAATAATGACAGGAACCAAACAATTTCCAAACTTTCATTGGCTTTATGTGCAAACAACAAGTGGGTTTATAAACGTGATCCCAAATCATGTCTTTCTATATACAAGGGTTAGATAACACGGTGCACTAACTTATTGATGATTTCTTTATTTTTATTTTTTTGGGATAACTTATTAATGATTTACAAGTACACATAATGCAGTCATTTCAAAACAACTTTGGTTTAGACATGTTCCTTGTACTAAAGGATTGAATAAATGCATAGGAATTCCAATAGTATACATTAATGTTGCTTGTAAGAGAAACAAAAAAGGTTAAAATTTGGGTGAGAAATTAACATTAAGAAAGTTCATGGTTGCCTTCTGTACATTCATAAAAGCAGCAATATAGCTATAAAAAACCTTAACTAAAACTAAGTTTAAAAACAATTAATTTAGTAATTTTGTCTAAATCTGTCTGTTTCTTAACTGTGTTAATACCATCAAACTAACAGGAGAAGCAAGAAACTTTTCAATGGGAAGGAAACAATTAATGATTTTAAAACAAAGGAATGTATATGTTAGCTGTCACAATGTAAAAACATACCTGTTTTGAACAGCTGACATATAAAAGTTACTGGCTTCACTTCATTAGGTACATCAAGGGCTTATTTACTAAAGGCAAAAAACTACGAATTAAACAATTTGGTAATAAAATTTACACAGGTGCAATATTCCAGGCCATGACTAGATGCAGCACAGTTTAGCACTGCACCATTTCTGATTTAATTCTTTTGAACAGTTGCAAGTTCAAACCAACTCATAGATTATTTGGGTTAATTCAAAGCATGCGTCAAACTTGTGCCACATAACATAGAAAGATTAGGCTAGTTCTGGATGTGAACTCATGAATTCAATTCCTTAGGCAATCACTCTAAACAAATATAAAATCAGTGTGTGCAAAGAAAAAAAGGAAGTTGAACAGAAAGCAATGCTGTCAAAAAGAAAAGGGGAGGATTCGTTAGTGCCAAAATTAAAAGGGGATGATTCGTTAGTGCCAGAATCAGAAATATGAGATTCAGGACTTACCAGTGGTTCAGACGATTGAGGTTGCTGGTGAGTCAATGTGGGCTGTTTCCTTCTTTGATATACCAACTCAGGTGTCACAATCTTTCGTATTTCTGGTGTACTTGATGTATCAGTCACAGAAGAATCAATCAACGGAGGATCACTTTTTGATGTATCAGTCACAGGAGGATCAGTCATAGAAGGATCAGACATAGAAGGAACAGGAACAAGAGGAGGAGACACTGACACAGGTAAAGGAGTAGACACTAAAGATTCAAACTCAAAGAAGGAAGGTGATGAGTTTTCTGATGAATTATTCTCCCCCTGAAGATAAGGACCTTGGAAAAAGGACTCAGATTCCTGAAATGTAACATCCATAGAAACAAAAAATTTCCGACTACCAGGGTGATAGCACTTGTAGCCCTTCTTATCAGGAACATAACCAAGGAAGACACATTTAATAGCCCTAGGGTCCAACTTACTGCGATGGTGTTTATGAACATGAACGAAAGCAACACACCCAAACACTCATGGAGGAAGACTCAAAGTTGGAATAGAAGGGAAAAAAAAAGTTATAGAGTGAATAGGACTTACATGGTCAAGTACCCGAGTGGATAAACGGTTGATCAAGAATGCTGCAGCAAGAATGGCATCTCCCCAGTAGTATTTGGGTACATGTGTCTGAAACATTAATGCACGAGCCACTTCAAGAAGGTGACGATTTTTTCTTTCAGCAACCCTATTCTGTTGACGGGTGTCAACACAAGTAAGTTCATGAATCATACCGTTATTCTGTATAAATTGGGAAAGACAGTGATTAACATATCCAGTACCATTATCAATCCTTAGTCGCTTGATTTTTTTACCAAATTGGGTCTCAACCATTTTATAAAATTGAAAAAATAGTTGTGGTACCTCAGATTTTTCACGCATTAAGTAAACCCAAGTTACACGAGTGCAATCATCATTAAAAGAAACAAACCATTTATTTCCAGAAGAATGAGGGATCTTAGAAGGACCCCAAACATCAAAATGAATAAGATCAAAAGGTTCAACACTTTTAGTAATATTAGAAGGAAAAGACACACGATGATGCTTTGCAAACTCACAAACATCAAATAAAAAGACTCAACAGACTTAGACAAAAACAATGACGGAAATAAAGACTTGAGTAAACTAAATGGAGGATGTCCCAAGCGCTTATGATGAAGCCAAATCAAAGAATCGGCAGTTGATTGACCATGAGACAGCAAGATGTGATCTGTTACTTTATTGGCGGGAGATTGTGACACCAGATAGTACAGCCCACCTTGCTCTTTAGCACTACCAATCGTCTTCCCCGTGGCGAGATCCTGAAAAACACAGTGGGTAGGGAAGAAGGTTATAGTACAATTCAAATCTTTTGTAATTTTATGAATAGAAAGAAGATTCGTGGAGAGTTTAGGAACATGAAGAGCATCTTTCAGATGTAAGGACTGCTGTAAGTTTATGTTACCAGAACCCGCAACTGATGTATGTGAGCCATCAGCTACGGCTATTGTATAAGTTCCAATGGTAGGATGATAAGAAGTAAAGGGGTCAGCACAACAAGCCATATGATCAGTAGCACCAGAATCAACAACCCAAGAATGTTTAAAATCAGTACATGAAGAAAGAAAAGAATAAGTTTTGGAGCTCATACCAGTCATAGCCAAAGCATTAGTATCAGATGGTTTACTCAGAGAATCAAGGATGGTTCGGAGCCGTTCCAACTCATCTTGACTGAACGCAGGTTGGGTCTCATTAGGTGCAGGAGCTATTTCAGAGGAAGTAAAATGTGCTTGACCACGCATCCTTGCCATCTTTTCTAAGACCGTTTGCTTTCCATGGAAACGAAAGCATAGATCCTTGATATGACCCGTTCTTTTACAATAAGAACATCAGCGATCATCTTTCTTAAGTCTAGAAGATGCATCATCAGAAAATTTTGTAAAGGAGTTCCTTTGAGAAGAACCATCCCTTTTTGTTGAAATCATAGCAGACCCATAAGTGGGATTAGAATCAGAAGGAGTAGTAACTTTAGATGAGAGCATAATGGACCCTTCGGACACTTTGGTATCCATCATGACAGCCCTGCGACTTTCTTCACCCCTGACAATGTGAAAAACTTTAGAAAGAGACGGTAATTTTTCCTTACCAAGAATTTGAACTCGAATAGGGTCATATCTGAGTTGAGACCACAAAGAAAATCATAGATCCTATGGCGTTCAATGGAGGTGGTCAAAGTGGCTGCATCCTTGCTACATTCCATCTTCAAATTCTCGTACTGATCAAGCTCAGTCCATAACTTATTCATAATACCATAATATTCTGTTATAGAGAGAGAACCTTGCTTGGTAGAAAAAATCCGATTCCTCATATCATAACAAGTGGCAGCATCTTGCTTCATTGAATAGGTCTGCTTAAGAACGTTCCAGATCTCAAGAGCAGTAGGTAAAAACATGCAGTGTTGACTAACCTTAGGAGTCATAGAGTTCCATAGCCACGTCATAATAAGTGAGTCTTCATCATCCCAACCAACAAATGTTGGAGCTGTTTTGGCATGAACAGGTCCTTCAATATGAGCAACTTTACGGCGTCCTTTGAGAATAGTACGAACGACCTGGGACCATTGTAAATAATTCTTTCCATTCAGACGATAATTCTGATGAAGAGCAGGAAGATCATTGTGACCAAGAGGGGTCACCACAGACTGTGTAGAAGAATTTGTAGTTGTGTTTGCAAGGGTTGATTCAGTTTCAGTGTCGGAGGACATACTGCAAAAAAACTAGTCAAAGAAAAGCTCCAAGAAGCCAAAAAAATACGAAAAAAATACCAAACGACGTCAGATCAGAGGGGAAAGCACAGATCTTGAAAGAGCATGAAGAGATGATCAAAACGGCAGTGGTCCGCGACCAAAATAAGGCTGCACGCGCCTCCACGCGCCGGTGGAAGTGGCTGCGCGTGGGCTTCACGCGCTGTAGTTTGGGTGGCGCGTGAGAGCGCGTGGGCTGTCTTCTCCGGCTGAAATTTTTGCACCGTGGTCGTCCGGCAAGCGCGGCTGTGTCTGTGTCTGGTCGGAGTAAAAATTCCACCGGAAAAGGGTCCAAAACGCGATGAACAGGTTCTGTGTACGATGGTTGCAGTGTTCTGTTGCGGTGTTCTCGTTGTTTTTGCTGTGCAGAGACAAAAAAAAGGAAGAGGAACAATGGTCTTCTCGGTCCAAGAGGTCCCCGAAATTTTTTTCCGGTGGCGGCTGATGGCAACGAGAAATGAAAAAAAGAATAAAAGGTTTCGTAGGCGCGGAAGCAGAGCCCTCAGGATCGAGAGCTCTGATACCAACTTGAAAAAGGGTAATCAGAAAAAATATTATTAATTGTGTGTTTAATCTGATACAAAGAATTCTCTATTTATAGAGAATAGAAGACCTAATTCTTGACCTAATGGGCTTGGCCCTATACAACAAATAATAATAAATAACTAATATTTACAACAATTCAATTCCTTAGGCAATCACTCTAAACAAATCTAAAATCAGTGTGTGCAAAGAAAAAAAGGAAGTTGAACAGAAAGCAATGCTGTCAAAAAGAAAAGGGGAGGATTCGTTAGTGCCAAAATTAAAAGGCAGGAATTGCTGAATTATCATTTTGACTGTGCTTAATACTGTAAATTCAGACATGAAGGAACAAAAAGAAACAACTACTGAAGCAGGAAAAAAAAAATTTAAACAATGTCATCAACAATTATTTTAGTTAAAGATTAACTTAATTATATAGCTGGATATGATGTAATCTTCCATACAAGGTGTTGTATCATGGCCATACAAGGATGTACTCAAACTTAAATGGGAAAGAGACTCATGAATGTAGACTAGGGAACAGGAGTTCTAAATGCATGGTAATGCCCTTAGTAGTCCTGCTGTTTAAAAGCAAGGACAGCATTGTTTATGCATTATTACTAGCATTCTAAACTTCAATCAAACATGCACATACTTTTCCAATTAAAGCACAAGGCATGAGAATTTCAAACCATGAAAATTGCTCCCATGGATCAATTGTCCCAGGCACCTGAACTATACAGGTTTTGAACTCATTTGAGAAGACTTGGAAGGCTATCAGTGCCTTAAAACATTTTTTGCTATTAAAATGTCTCTATGTCACTGATCATTTTTCCCAAGGGAATTCTTTCTGAACATAAATTTAATGTTTATTCCATAATACCAAATTATGTGCAAATAAAACATTTATAAATTCCTAACAAGTAACAATGGTTCCAATCTGCATATGTTAGCATTTAAATTTAAAACTAATAAATAGTGCAATAAGTTGAAAAGCCTCAGTCTTAAACTGCTACTTAAAGATGAAAATGCATTCCATATAAAAGCAGTTAATGTTTTGAAACAACGGGGATGGAATTTTTTTGTTTAAAAAAAAAAAAAGACAATTGAGAAAATGCAGTGCTCATGGGTGTATCACAGGATGCAATTTTCAAAGATGTTTAACTTAAGCAGAATGTGACCACCATATTTTCCGGAATTTTGGTAGTATCAAATCATGCTAAATGCAATTTTCAGAAAATAATATGAATACATTAAACAAAATGAGCAACAAGCCTGTTATGTTACCATACAACACTATCATAAATTTTAATTTCTTATTCACTAATGGATTATCCAATAAGAACTGAAATGTACTCACGTATTATTGAATAGGTATGCTTTTCCCCTCCGCGAATGAAATGCCTGAAAGAAGGGTAATACAAGATACAGATAAGAAGTAATTTAACAACCCAGCAAAGCAGTTGGAGCATTGTACTGGCAAAAACCAAGCAAAATCAACAGCACAGAGATGATGCATGCCATTAGAAGTAATACATTTAGCTTTTTATCTTTTCCCATCACACATATCTTATGTCAGCTATAAGTTTTTTCTTTTCTAAATAGTTAACTTTTAATATATGAAGTTATGATTAGCATTGGAAGACACAACCAAAGAATAAGGTGGATACAAGTTATTAAAAGCAACAATGCAAGAAAGCAGTCAAGATTCGAAAGGACATATTGTAAGTTCATACTAAAGCTTTTTCACATGAACCTCTTGTATATTTTCCTTTGGTTATATTTTGATACAGCATACTAGCCGAAAGATAATTAATCCCCAAACCCAACATGATGACAGATTAGACACCCTCAGAGTACTTTACAATGTATCTTGCTCTATGGGATCATTGACGACCCAAACTAGTTTGAGATAAAGGTAATGTTGATGTAGATTACTTTACAAAGTAAAATACACCATTGATGGAAGATCAACCTACATAACATCACTGTCCAATTATTTTCCCTTTGGAAAATTTAATCCCCGATTTATCCATGAATTGGACTGAATTACAGAAAAGTAAAAGGATTGAAGTGAAGGACATCAAGGACTCATGCAGCTAACTACCAGTGTTTTCCATTAGGATTTACTGCCAGTATAGGTATTCCCACTCATCTATTTATCAGTATAAGTTTGACAATTTTTTTAATTCTTCTACAGACACAGGGGATGCAAATGGGAATGCTTATGAGGGGAAAAGAGAGTGGCAGAGGGTGTTCATAAGAGGTTACTAAGATCCAAAAATATGATAGAGCTGTTAGAAAGTCTGAGTTCTACAAAGAGTACATACTTTGAAGGCAAAGTAAGAAACAAAATAATAACCACCCGATAACACAAGAAGCAGTTGTTGCCATTGATTGGTTTCAAAATTAAATGAGATCACTAATTTAACTAGCAAATCAAATCACTGCCAACACCTCACATAAGATAATCAGATTAACAATTAAGTCAATAACCTTCCTTAATCAGATCCTCATGCTGCTTTAGTCAATCAAGGTACGTGTTAGCATTGGCTTCAGAAATCAAAATAACCTTGTCATCTAAATTTCAGGTAACCTGGAATTTGGAAGAATGCTGAACAGAAATGTTCAAGGTACAACCTGTTGAGGTTCTAAGGTTAAGGGTCAAATGATGTTCCGTGGCATTAGTGGTCTTGCACTACTACTGCAAATCTGCAATTGCAGAGACTTCAACCTCACTCGGCATGTATTAAAGACTCCCCAGAAAATAAACATCTCAAATATCAAAGCTTAATCTTTTTACCAATTAGGATACATTAAACCATGCATCTTCCAGCACATAATTTCCACATCTCAACCACCTTATATTAGATAATTTGGTCTAAATTTTCATAATGTCTACAAAAGGGTTCACTGTTCATAATTGCTCCAACAACAACAAAAAAAATACTAATTCTTAGCTAAAAAGTTGACAAGAAAATAAAAAAATAAAAAATAAAATAAAAAATGGTACCCGAGAGATGAGGTCATCTGCAAGAGCCAAGTGAGTTCTGCAGAACTTGCATCTATAAGACCTTCCCTCCAGCTCCACCACAAAGATTCTTCCCATTTTTATTCTGCTTTGTGTTATTTTTTATGGATACTCAAGAGACTCAAATGATGTATTCTTCGAAAAAAAGAATAAAGAGACTCAATGATGTCACTTTGTTGAATAAGAACTGAAAATTCAACGGTAGATGGAGAAAGGAAAATATTAACAGCAAAAGGGACACGTGTTTGAGTTTGTGTTCCTGGGAGAATACATACTTAAATAAATATAATGAACTCAAATTATATGTACTAAACTAATTAGTACATTATTAATTCATAGGAATTAACTATTTATGATAATAATTATTTAATTTGTATAATGTTTTATTAAAGTATGAGATAATTTTTTTACCTACACATTTAAAGTTTATTTTTTATCTTATTTTTTCACAAGAAACCTTGAATCCATATAATATTAGGGATTACTATTTTTCCTAGTTACAATATAAATAAAATATAATATTATGGAAAAAAAAATTCCTGTTACAAGAGATAGAATTATTTTTTATAATTTCAAAATAATATTTTGTGGGGTTAAAATTAAAAACAAAAGATATTTTAATAAATTTTTAAAATATCATTTATTTTTAATCTTAAATCTCAAAATAATATCATTTTAAATTGTAAAGAATAAAATTATATAGGAGAAATATTTTTTTCCCTTTTCGTGTTCGGTATTCACAATGACAATGGCAGTTTTATATGGACACGATGACTCTCTAGTATAGTTTTTATTTTTTAAGATATTTAAAATGAATCGAACATATACCTCATTTTTACCTACTTACTATTATTTGATTTTAGTATAGTTCTTTGAACTGAAGCAAAGAGATAATGGGATAAGGTTTAATAGACACGGATTGAGTGGTGGTTCTGGACTGGACCACATGGTGCTTGCCAAAAAAAAAAAAAAAAAAAAAAGAGATATGGGTGAAAATAAATTTGAAGGTAGAGATAGTATAAAAGTGTTATTTTTTATTATATTTGATAAAAAAAAACACCTGGAACACAAAATCTTTTCTGGTGGTTCTGACATATATTTTTTTTTTGGGGGGGGGGGGTAATAGTTAGATTTTTTAATAAAACCAGTTCTGAGTAATAAAAATATTAGACCTTTGTGCCTTACTTACTCTATTTATGGGTACATAAAAATAAAGCCTAGCTCAACTTTGACCAAATATAATAATTAATAATTCTTTCTCTCCCTGTGAGACACCTTGTTTTAATTTAATGTTTTGCATAACTTAAAAATAATGTTCCCGGATCATGCTTAAATATATCTTTATTTATTACAAGGTGTTGATTGATTTTTTAATGCAATTTTAGTCGAACACAGAAATTTCGAGTTTGGGTTTGGGTTTGGGTTTGGGGCTTTGGGCCTAGAGTCAGTTCTTAGTCATTTTTCTAATCTTAAATGTTTTAGCAGTCTACCTAAATTCAAAAGCAAAATAAAAAAAACAAAACAAAACAAAATTCGAATGAATTTAGCATATAATGAATCATAAATAAAATGTGTAGTTATCACATTAAAAATTGTTGCTGCTAGTGTAGTAGACCTGGTGTCTCTAGCCCCAAAAACTTGTATGAGCGGAATAAATTGGGAACCTTCTGAATTTAGCAATTTCTCTTGTTTGATTATGCAGTATGCAGCAGCCACACTAGTTTATAATTTTATTCCACTATGAGTATATATAATAGTTGTTTTATTTTTTTCCAAATAAAAAGAGATGAGATTGACATTAAAGGCATCCGTGTTCCTTAATGGATTGATTAAATCATTAAATAACCCTGCTTAATTATTGTGAATGATTGTGATAGAAAGCTCAGAGAGGAATTAAAAAAAAAAAAAAATATTGAATTTGAATGCCAAGTGTAAATGGGTTAGGCAGATTTACAGGAGCCTACGACTTAACCTATATTAGATCAGACTTAATTTGTTACAAACAGTAAAATAGAACAGCCCTAGAATTTTAAAAAAACCTATTTAGAAAACAGGTCATAGGCTTTTCTGTAAATATCGGGCCTATAAGCCTACAGGCCGGCCTAATTGATATTATTTATTTTAAATAAAATAAATAAAACTATTATTTTAATAAATTTGAATAATAAAGTAATATTATTTTAATTGTTGAATGTTTAATAGGCTTAAACAGACCTAGGTTAAGGCTTTTATTTTTAAAATATAGGTCAGACCAGACTTGTAATTTGAGTATACAAAGACTAATAGGTCAGGTCAGACCTAATATTTTTTACAAAAATTAGATCTATTTAAATCAAAGCCTAACTCAATCTATTTACACTCTATAAAAAGTAAAGTAAGTAAGTTGGAGAAGATAATTTTCATTTTGATTGATTTGTTCTACTTGTTAGCTGTTGGCGCCCACAAAATCCAAAACATCTTTCTAAACAAATCCATCAATTATTTCTTTATATTGCATTGCGTGCTTGTTAATTATATCACCTTCCTGTTGTAGAACAGAAATATGTGAAAAAGAGAGCTGAACCTATCTTCTAATAACCACACTAGTTATGACGCTAATCATTATAAATTCTGTTCCTTTTTTTTTTTATTTAAATACCAACAAATGTCTGAAACCCTAATATCATTTGATTATTAATGGGTGTCACTAATTCAGTTTTATCCTTTTCAGAAATTATGATTTTTAGAAATCAAACCCATTATCATTTCAGCAGGTAAAATTCTCTGATTTATTTGAGACATCACTAGACAAATAATTCTTGAGTATAAATTTTGTCTTTTTTTTTAGGAAAAAACCTTTTAAAGGATATATAGTTGTGTCATTTTAACCGAGAGAAAATACAACTTAATTTTTTTATTTAAAATTTAAATTTATTACTTGTGTCTTTTTTCATTTAAAATAACATAACTCTATATTCTTTAAAAGAATAAATACTAAACTTTTTGTTGTTGTTATATATCGATCCTAAATATTTTTTTAAAAGAAATCCACCCGTATATTCTCACAATTCTGTCCTTTTAGTTTTTTTTTTTTGGTACATACTGTCCTTTTAGTTTTAGTTATGACTAGTGGCATGGCAGCCTTACAAAAGATTGTATCATAAAAAATAAACTCATGAAAGTGATAGCACCCATCTCGGTCCCAAACGTTCTCAAGCGTTATATTCCTCCAATTATATCCCAAATTTGAATTTGGCTACTCAGTAGAGGCTTATGTGATTCGATTGGTTATAAAGAATTAATTCAACTCAAAAAATTAAGTTGTTAGATAAAGTTATATTTATTAATTTTATATTTTTTTAACATGTCTTATTTATTGGACTTAACGGGTAGATAATATTTCAGACTCAGCCTATCTTAGCCAAAAAAAACTCCACAATATTTAATTATTAGAATAGAAATGGTAAAAATCCGACTCGTGACACTAATTCAATCCAAAAAGTTAAGCTTTTAAAAAATATTATATTTAATAATTTTATATTTCTCTAATAAACTAATAGAGTTCGTTTTTTCTACGGTCAATGTAGATAACTTATTTACATTAAGTCCAAAACGACAACATTTTGAGACGAAAATCAAGGTATTTTTGTAATTATAAGTTATTTCAGGGTTATAATAGTCTCTTTCATTATAATTTTTTTTTAATCTAAAATAATATTATTTTGAGAGCGAATATAGATAACTTATCGACATTCATTCTAGAAACATTAAAGCCTAAAACTAATACATAATATTTTGGTTTATTATATGGCTACTGTGACTCCAAATCAACCTTATCAATAATATTACAATAATGTCATTACTTTATAAAATCAGTTTTAGTTAATTATTACATTTGACTCAAAATTATATAACTATATAAGTAATTACTTGCTGAATTTTAGCCACAGATAATTTGTACAACTAAAGAAACACATGAAAATGTTAATGTGGTTGATATTATGTGAACACTTAACCCATGTTGATGATTTTGGGGGGTGGGTCCTTGGAGTAAATAAGAAACTAAGAATTTTTGGGGTATAGTTTCACATGTCTTTGGGGCTTTGGGTCACCCTGACAACACAGTTTTTTGAATTTTTGAGGTCACACAACACAACAGCCGCCCAAACCCTAACAACCTCTTATCACTAACATTAAATCCGACACCACGTGCCACCCTCACCTATCCCACACCGACGCGCCGGCTTCACCCTTTCTGTCTTTCATATTCAGACACGTCACCACCGCACTCGTCGTGTCTTCCCTGTTCTTCCGTACGTTGTACCCACGTGAACTCCTCTACGTGTCACTCAATGATGGGCTTTTGTCCATTTCATGAATAAAACCTCACAACAGCACATGTTTTATATTTTTCTTTTTAATATTTATTTTGCTAACTTAAATTTTACTTATATTTACCAGATATGCAATTTTTTTAGCAAAATCATGCCTTTCAGGTTTTTTAACTCAAATTCAAACATCTGATAACAAATAATTTTAGAGTTATTTTTTGTTGATAAATTCAGCGTAAGTTTTTATTTTATAATAAAAAACATTTAAAAAATGATAAAAAAATATTATCAAGATTTGTTTCGGCGAAGATGATAATTATGTGTTAGTGCATGATTACGGAGAGACACGGGAATCTGCGGGGCCCACATATACAGCGGCCGCCGCGCCTCCATCCACCAGACCGTTTCCCGCGTGGACCCCGCCTTGTTACTCCTTTTTCAATTCTTTCTACGTTATTTCCTTCAAAGGCCGACAAAATATCAATACAATAATAACACGTCGTTTTTAATTAAAAATAAGGAAAATATACTATTATATTATAGGAGAGTATTTTTTATTCTACATATACATAGATTTTCGTGTTATTTTTTTCTCTATAAGTGTGGGTCTCACACATGATTGTCTCATAGCATGAAAGAGCTTCTCTCATATTGTATAAAATTAATAAAACCCTTAGAAATATTATTATTTTTTGGAGTGGATGTTAAAATTTCACATTTACAAATTTTATTGT